CCGACCACTACGGCGGCAGCTTCGAGAACCGGTGCCGGTTCCTCTTCGAGGTCATCGACGGCATCCGCCGCACCTGCCGGCCGGACTTCCAGATCGGCCTCCGCATCTCCATGGAGCGGTACGGGGTCCCGCTGACCGAGATGCGTGAGGTCGCCGCGCGCGCCCTCCGCGAGGCCCAGATCGACTACCTCGACCTCGCCGTCTGGGACTACCGCAAGATGGCCGCTGAGGCGCCCTTCGAGGGCCAGACGCTGCTGAGCGTCTTCACCGACCTCCCGCGGCCGGCGGGCGTGCGCGTCGGCGCGTCGGGCCACGTGATGACAGCGCGCCAGGCGGCGGAGGTCCTCGACGCGGGGTGCGACTTTGTTATGCTCGGCAAGGCTGCTATTCTTGATCCGGATTTGCCCAAGAAGGCGGAGGTGGATGAGAACTATCGCGCGCCTGGGCTGCCGGTGACGGCGGAGTATCTTAAGAGCTCCGGGCTGAGTGAGCGGTTTATTGAGTATATGAGGACGTGGGAGGGTTTTGTTTTGGATGGTTAGATGGGCTAGTCTCATCTCCAGGATCTGTATATGATCATACTCTGTGTATATAGACTTTTCGGGTCATTGTTGCTTGATGATATACTTGCATGAGGGCAAGGTCGATGAATAGAGACAGAAGATGTCCGCGTTTCTCACGAATATGAACAAACCACAGTAGAGCGTCTATTGAAAATGCAATATAATCCTGGGGAGCTAATGTAGGGCCTTACTAGCATTACCAAGGTCATGGTTCACGTGGGAAAGAGCTCACCCAGAGAGGCGTAAATATGCAAGCGACCCGGGGCACTCAGGGCCGGCCAGTATAAAACGATTTCTTGATTCTTGGTGGTTCTTGGTTGGCAGCTTTTTATATCATCGTGCATTAGCACACCGCGCATGCCTACGTGCAGCGAATGTAGGATACAGGTCTTGAATTGCAGGATCCGTGCGTAGCGCCTTTGCAGGCGAGACAGTCGTTTGAAGATATGCATGTATACCTAATTGGCGGTGACCTAGTCCTGAGTGCAATTTGGAAGTATGTAAAGTTACTTATCATGGTTTCTGCCATGGATGTGATAAATCAAGGCTTCAAGGGGCTCCTTAGAAACAGCACGTCGGTCCAACAGCTTGGAAGCAACACTCAGAAGAAAAGGCTGCGGGATATGGGTAGGATCTGTCCATTCCTGCAGCCATGAAGTATTCCCCTTCGTCACATACATATCTACAAATAACTCAAGGATCTGAGCCGATTCGGCGATGTTTTGGTATGCATAATCCAACACTGCCCTGCCAGGGTACCACCTGTGTCCGTCTCGCGCTGCGGAACGGCTCTTCTCGATAATCGCATCGATGACGGTGTCTTGGAACAAAGTGTCCAAGATCTTGTCGCCCAGAGTATAGGCCTTGGCCAGGTCCAAGTATTCGGAGTTTTCGATTGCACCCGGTTCATCACAAAACACCGGCAGTGTGCCGTAGTAGAGCCAGTGGATGTAAAGCGCAACTTTCTTCGGTTCATCGTTCGGAAGTTGGACGGTGCGCTGTGCGGACTCCTTCCATTCCCCTGCCAGAGCCTTGTCGAAGAACGGGGAAGAGGAACGAACCAAGCCTTCATAGACGCCGTAGACCCTTTGGTCATCTCCTACCACTATCTCAATGGTCCTCCTCTGAAATCTGGGTCTGGATTAGCATTCAATGAAGCAACTATATTCTTAGCACTCACTTGTTGACAGAGTCTCTGGGGGCTCGAACAGACTTTGAAGCCATCGTCTCTGAGCTTGGTCATATGGTCTTTTCGCCTTTTGCGGACTTGAGTCAGGATGTGATGTGACTCGATCTTTGGATGGCACAAAGACCAACAGATAACAGCCATCCCCAATCCCAGCCATGCATGTCATTTCATCCTCATTCTCGGTATTGACTGCAACAGGGGATTGAAGATTTTTACCCCGCACCAGGAAGGGGGGTCGACCGTGGCTGGCTGCATGTGACGGTTCAGGTACGTCAAAGTGGCTCTCTTGCGCATTGTCATTCTTGTAGTCAAGTGAGTTAAGGGGCAGAGCCACAGAACGCCTCTGGTCTGGTCTAGAAGAGACTGAATGCTCTGGTGACAATGCTTTCGAGCCTGCACATACCAAGGAGACTTGATAGGAACGCTTCTACTCTGCGTTACATTTAAATGCTGTCTGGTCATTTGCTGTCCACTTTTTCTGTTCGAACCACGTCTCATTTTAGTCCTGTCGGGGCTATTTCCGGAATAATAGAAATTGGCAAATGAAAAGGAATCTGTTTTTGTACAGCTGGCAAGTTTCTTCTTTGCATCGAAAAAAACCTCGGGCTTCTTGAAAAAGGGGATTGACTTGAACATTGCCCTATCGGCATATTCACCTTTTCACCTACATGTGCATTACTTGGAAAGCTACCAACAAAAGTCATTGAAACATGGAAGAAGTCTATGATAGCTCTCATCGTGACTCACCCTAGCTTTCTTCGGCTCTTACATCATGCCCATTAGCTAACAAGACAACCACCAAGCTATCAAATATACGTCCCCTGCACCTCAACTTCAGCCCGAACCTGCTTTTTTTCCCGGTTGTCGACCCCCAACCACAGCAAGTCCGGCCGACTGTAATGTCCGTGGACATCCAGCATAGCCTTGACCTTCTTTATTTCGTCGAGATCAATGTCTGCGATGACGAGCCCTTCTTCCTCCTCGCCCAAATCCTGCGTCAACTTACGCCCATCGGGCCCAATGATGCAGGCGCAGCCGCCGCCGCCGATATGGTACAGCTTGCCGTCGCCGAGCTTCATCCGCTCGATGCCGGCCTGGGTGTAGAACGAGGAGGCCAAGACCACGAAGCAGTTGCCTTCGATAGCGTGAGTGGTGGAGAGATTGTGGGCGCCTATCATTCCCGTCACGGTTAGCCATTTTCTTCCTCCCTTTTCACTTGCACCCAACAGACATCAACGTATCCTCCCTCAACTACAACACAAAGACGGGGGTGGACTAACCTTCACGACACTGCGACCACAGCGCACTCCCCGCCGGAAACGAATCATAGTGATTCATGGGCGGCCACGCCGCGACATGGATCTGCTCGCCCTGCGAGTAGGTGTGGTACCGCAGCAAGGGCTGCGAGTGCTCCCAGCACGACAACGCCCCGATGCGACCCACGCCAGCCTCCTCGACGACATTCATCAGCGACGCGCCGCTGCCCTCGCCGTAGATGGTGCGCTCGACGTGCGTGGGCTTGACCTTCCGGCGGTGCATGCGGATGGCTCCGTCGCGGCCGATCAGCGTCTGCGACAGGTACAGCGAGTCGTTGTCGTTCTCCGAGTACCCCAGGCACACGGCGATGTGGTGCGCCGCGGCGCAGTCCTGGATGCTGCGCATCTCCGGGGAGTCGCGGCGCAGGCTGTGCTTCATGTACTCGGTCACCATTTCGAAGTCGATGGGACGTTGCCTGTGTTTTGGGGGTTAGATTTAGGTCGGGTTTGAAATGAGATGAGTGGATGCTTTTTACCAGATCCAACCCGGGTACTGAGGAATCCAAACCTCCGGAAACGCGATCAAAGCACATCCCTTGTTGGCTGCCTCGATTATCAGGTCGCATGTCTTTTGGACGGCCGCGGGGAGGTCGAAGTAGCAGCCTTCGGCTTGCACGGCGGCGACGCGTACCGTGTGCGGAGAGCCGGGTTTGGTGGCTGGCGGGGAGGAAGGGGCTTGCGAGGGGGATGCCATTGGAACAGTGGGGAGCTGATGTCTGTTGCTTTGGATCTCTGCTTGTCTGGAGGATGCTGGACATCTGCAAACAGGTGGTCGCACGGACTTGATATAAACATGGTCCTTCGATCTAGGATGAAGTCAGGCCTTGGCGCTTCGAAAAGAGAGTTGGAGTCTCCAATCTGACTTCGATATCCTTTCCTATATCACACAGAATAACAAGCGCGCTTATCTCAGAAGGTGGGTTATAGTGCGTGTTATCTGTGACCAAAAGGTGATTCTGACAATATTGAATTATTCATGCTTTTCCCTCAATCTCTGGTTTTAGAGCTGGGGTTCCCGACTGGGGGGGCGCAATGAGGGACACGGCGTCGTTTTTTTGTGGGGCTATTCATTTGATTTACCCCACGGACGCTCAAGAGCCTTTTTCTCCCGTAATATCATTTGTATGGTCAAGAAAGCTTCTCCGTGTGGTGCTAACAGACTTTAGGTGTGACTGGTATGAAGGGAGGGAGGGAGGAGATGCAAATTCATTCATCGGCTTGGTAAGAACCGTGGCTCTATGATTACCATCCATGATCTCCCGGTAAGGGTATACTACAGTCTTTGGCTAGAATTCGTTGAGCGCAGCGGAGGACGTTTGGAGGCTATGAGGTCAATTGCGACACTGCTCCGTACTCCGACCAAGGCGCGCTTGGCGCGAGATTGAGAAGAGGTACTATCCCATGAGCATCATCCAGTTGAAATGGCGATATCATCAGTAGTCGGTAACGCGAAAGAGCCAACAAAACATGGCTTCTGCGTCTTGGCATCAGTAGCCTGCCTGTGCCCTAACCATGGAATCAAGACCGGCAACCAGCCGCAACAGCCTGGGAAGAAGGATACCTAGCTACTCAGCTGAAGAGTATTCATGATATCATTCACTCCCTGGGAAATGGTGGGATTGATGTCATGCAGTAAGGGCTGATGTGCGGTATCCTGCGGCCCGCATGCGGGAATGCATATGAGCTGTGACGGCATCGTGATATTGTCAGCTTAGTTGTCTATAGTCCCCTATGTCTGCAAGACATATATCTATAGACCTATATATATCCCCTCTATCCAAAATTCAAAATAAATCATAGCACACCAGCGTCAAGTCAAGCGACTCAGATTTCTCCATCTTAGCTCTACTTACCTCTCCAGAAAGCGAGCTTTCACTCCCCCTTACGCAAACATCATTTGTTCCTTCGCGATAACAATAGCTCGTGAACTCCATGGCTCCTGTCGTCCCTGAAACCTGCAAGGCTGTCGTCCTGGACGGCACGCACGCCCCGTGGTCCCTGCGGGACGTGCCCGTCAAGCTACCGGCCGAGGGCGAGATTCTGATCAAATCTCTGGCGTGTGGTGTCTGCCACAGTGTACGTGATTCTATACCCTACCCGAAGCCTTCAAGTTATGAGCAAAAAGGGTCTTGACTATGTGGACCGCTAGGACGTGGCAACCCAAAACGGCGAGTTTGACTTCATGTACTGTACCTCTTCCCCCCTCGGTAACCTGCCACACAAGACCAACCCTAACTTTCGTCATTAGCACCAAGTACCCTATCATCGCCGGCCACGAGGTCATCGGCGAGGTCGTCGCCCTCGGACTCAACGTGAAAGACTGGAAGATCGGGGATCGAGCTGGCGGCGCCTGGCATGGGGGCAACGACGGTCATTGCAAGGCTTGTGCCCGGGGCACCCCCCAGATCTGCTCGAATCTAGAAGTCAACGGTGTCACGCGCGATGGAGGATGTACATGCTACCGCTCCTTCCTAGTCTTTGTGTGAATACTAATATATGCTCTCAAGTCTCCGAGTACTGCACGCTCCGCGCCGACGCGGCCATCCGCGTGCCCACGGACATGGACCCAGTCAAAACAGCGCCGCTCCTCTGCGCCGGCATCACGGCGTTCAATGGTATCCGCAAATTCCACATTCCGCAGGGCGACACGGTGGCCATTTGTGGCATCGGCGGCCTGGGCCATCTGGCCATCCAATTCGCACGCAAGATGGGCTATCGCACTGTCGCCGTTTCCGGGACGAAGGACAAACGCGACGCTGCGTTGGCGCTAGGGGCGCACCAATTCGTTCACACGGGGTCGGAAGATCCTGTGCAGGCGCTGAAGCAGGATGGAGAGGGGGCTTCGTTGGTTATGATGTTTTGCAATGATCCGGAGATGTGAGTTCCCTTTCTCCGCTACTCTGCTCAAGGCGCTGTTCTTCCCTGTCAGAGCATGAATATGTATCGAACGGGTTCTGGACTGTGCCAAAGGCTAATTGGACTTTATTCTTTTGTAGGGTCAAGAAAATGACCGCTGCCCTTGCCCCCGGAGGTTCGATCCTCCTAATCGCGCGTGAGTGTATCCGTCCATTGTTAGGGTTGAAATGATGCGATGCTGATTCAGTCCTCTTCTACTCCATATAGCGGTAAATGGCGTAACGTTGGACTTCACCGAGCTGATAGTCGTTGGCAAAAACGTTCGCACTTGGTCCTCCGGGTTTGCGCCGGAGACCCGCGAGGCGCTGGACTTTGCCAGCCATCTGGGCGTGGAGTGTCAGACGCAGGAGTTTGCGCTTCGTGATATTGACAAAGCCTTTAACGCGATGAACAACCGCACCATTCGCTTTCGTCCGGTGATTAATTTTGCTTTGTAGATGGCTTGCTATTATCATCATATTCTTTCTCTCTTGGTTCCTGCTCGTTTGTTGCCTTCGGTCTGTGATTTTGGGGTCGGGGCTTTGTGATGCTACGGGCCGGAGTTGCAATGTTACCTAGGAGGTTGAGCCAAGAATTGAATTATGATATCCATGATCTGAATATTGCGTGGGTATTGCGAAGCAAAACTGGGGTGTGTCTAGGATTTCCAATCTGTAAGCGCTCGTGGAAATCAATGGCGTTGATGTGTTCAAGTGTTCATGAGGTCATAGGATATCAGGGCTGTGTTGGAGACTCCAACTCCCGATTCCAAGTTATATTTCAAGCCTCTCCACCGCCTCTTTCCACACCGTAGGCAGAAGAGGTTCCAATTTTCCGTGCAACATCAGGTCCAAAGCATGTCATCATCATCGTCATCATCCACAGAACTACCGACCGTCACCAGCGGCTGGGAGCTGCACGGCACCAGCCGCGGCGGCGATGGCAGCGAGGCGCTGGTATGGAATGACTCCCTGCCGTTACCAGCCATAGGGCCCACAGACGTCCTAGTACGCCTGCACGCCTGGGCGATCAACTACCCGGACATCTCGATCGCAAACGGCACCTTTCCCTGGTCATACCCAGAAGACGGAGAGACCAAGGTCCCCGGGACAGACGGGGCTGGGGAGGTGATCGAAGTAGGCTCGCACGTGCAGGAGCTGCAGCGCCACGACCGCGTCGTGGTGGTCTACTACCCCAAGTTCCTGCACGGAGCGGCCCCAACCCTCGATCAGATGCAGCAAGACCTGGGAATCTTCCGGCGCCACGCCGTCCTCCCCGCTCAAGCCCTAATCCGCATGCCCGCCAACCTCACCTACGCCGAGGCCGCCACCCTCCCTTGCTCGGCGCTGACCGCCTGGAACGCCCTGCACGGCCTCACCCCGCTCAAGGCAGGGGATGCAGTCCTCACGCAGGGCACGGGCGGCGTCGCGCTGTTTGCCGTCCGCTTCGCCCTCGCTGCCGGCGCGACTGTTATCGCCACCACTTCCTCGGATGACAAGGCGTGTCGGCTGAGGGAGATGGGCGTGCAGCATGTCCTCAACTACCGCGAGGATCCGGAGTGGGGCGAGAGTGCGCGGCGGTTGACGCGTGAGGGACTGGGTTGTCAGCGAGTTATCGAGGTCGGCGGCCCGCAGACCATCGCGCAGTCATTCCGGTGCGTCGCCCGCGGCGGCGAGATTGATGTCATAGGGTTTCTCGGGGGCCAGGATGGGAATGGAAGGCCCTCGTTCCTGGAGCCGCTGCTGCGGGCGTGTGTGGTGCGCGGGATCGAGGTCGGCAACCGCATCCAATTCGAGGAGATGAACCGCGCCATCGAGGCGCTCGATCTCCGGCCTGTCGTGGATGAGCGGGTCTTTGGGTTCGGCGAGTTGAGGGAGGCGTATGCGCATGTCTGGAATCGGCGGATGTTTGGGAAGGTGGTGCTGGCTGATCAGGTGGAGGAGTAGTTGAGGCATAGTCTTATCCCTGGACCACGGGGTCTTACTCGATCCTGGAGACGCAATGTACACAGCACATGATCCTGAGCCAGAGCTAGATCCACATGCAGAGCTGCTTGAGTTGGCCGCTGCGAAGGTTGCTGTTGGGCAGTATCCGCGCTGATAGGTATGAGCACACAATGGAGCATAGACGGTATGACATGTCTCAGAGATCTGCTCCTGAGCCCTCTTAGTTGTTAATAATACTATTCAATGCTCGTTGGATGCAGTTCGTCATTGAACAACGTCACTGCCTCCGAGACCATGCATAGTCACGTGCCGTAGCCCCAGCATATAAAAGCAAGCCCAGCATTCTCCCAGCACCAGCTTAGCAGAACATCCCGTCTCCATCAAGCCCTAAAACCACCCCATCCTCCGCCATGACCTTTAGCCACCTCTGCCATAACAAACCAAACCGCTCCATCTCCCATGATCCCAACAAAACTCAGAGTTGGCAACTTGGACCCGGTTCCAACTCGCCTCATTATCGCAGCCCGACACCGACGCATGGGCATCCTACTTCCAACCCCTAGTCCACGACATAAGCCACTGCCGAACAGTCTGGGGTCGCGTCAAGGACAGCACGAGGCCTGAAGGATTAGTGGTAACGTGTGCGTCATCGCCCTGTGGCATCCTCTCTTACCTAGTTGAGCCAGGTGTTCTTGCTCCCTCATTTTTACCTTTACTTCACGACTTGACTTACCGGTTTCCCCGATTGAGTTGTATCTGGTCGTCGTCAGTACTAGGATATTGTGCTGTCTGCACCCTGTGTTAAGAAGGGTCCGAATGCGATGAAAGAATCTAATCGCACAATAAAATATATATGCTGTCATCTGCGCACGGGGGATTAACCCTACTACTGGACAAGGTCGAACACCGCGAGAGTAAAAGCCCTACCTTTTGATAGGACACTACTGGGCGGTGTTACTTTCTCTAGTCTAGGTGAATAGCATTCTAGACTGATCAAGTACAACAGCCGCAGCCCTGACGCGTAGTCTAAGTTCAAATCAAGCAGAAGTAGATAAGATCTTCCAATCAAATGCAAAGAAGAGCCAACCGGCAGAGGCCGGACTATCGGTCTCCCGCCCATAGCTTGCTTAGTGCTTATGTCTTATGGGCGTTACGACTGTCGCTTTTATACTTATACTTTGGCTTTCCCATCCCGCTTCTTCTCGGGAGCAAGAGTCTGTCCCACTACTGCATAGTGGCGTAGATCGAAAGTCTCCAAGGTCCGGCCGTCAAAGCTTTATCGCAAAGCTGAGTGTCGCAGCTTGAACCAGATCGAACTACCAATCGACGGGCCACCACACTCTGACTGCACCTGCATAAGTCAAGCAATTTCATTTTTGCTGAAGCCTTCTGATATGTACACGGTACGCTCGGCAAGTTAGCGCCCTGGGTCCTGGTGACCGTGGCCGCGACAGGTGGCCGGAATAAGCCCCCTGCACGGCACTTCACATATCACTGGGCACCCCTGATCCAATTCTCTGTTTTCCCAAGAGAACACTAACCCTCACCAGTTCCCAGCTCTTCTCTGGCCAACATTCAGAAAGCTTTCATCTTTGGTTACAAGACACCTTCTCACTACCAAGGTACCATCGTCCCATCGTAAACATTCCGACCCGTGGCATTCTCCCACCCGGGGACCAATACCTTGAGAAATTGCCCGTTGATCTCTCCATTTGGTCGGAACAGAATCTCCAACGATGCCTTGGCCCCTTGCTCGGGCGTCAGGTCGGCGATGTCTCCGCTGCCGAGATCGGTTTTCATCCACTAGACACAGTAGTATCTTGTATTAGTGGAGATGGATACAGATCTAGATGTGGGGGGGGGAGCGGGAGCACGTACACCAGGGGCAATGGCCACAAAGGCGAAGTCGTCCTTCTCATGGTCCAGGGCATACTGCACGGTGAGCGCGTGCAGGGCGAACTTGGAGATCTTGTACGCTGGGGCGGGGACGTCGCGCGACGCGCGAGCTAGGGTAATGGAGGCAAGGGAGGTTATGCTGCAGTATTTTAGAAAGAAGATACGGTTCCGGGGGATGAGTAGTGATGTGTTACAGGTTCGCCACCTTCTTGAGGGAACCGCGTTGCAGGAGTGGTAGCACGGCCTGTGTGGTGTAGTGGACACCGGGGACGTTGATGGTGAAGCTCTCTGCAAGATGATCCCTTGAGTGGGTGGTGTGAGTACATACTGAGGTTAGAGGACTAAGATATACAAAAACCTACATTAATTTCACCCCATCGCCGACGTCCTGGCAGACTCCGGCATTGTTGATCAAGATATCCAGTCCCTTGCCGCTAAGCTGCTTCTCGACCTCGGCTGCAGCGTTCCGGATGGATAACTCGTCTGTAACGTCGAGTTGGACCACGGGGACTCGTCCTGCTGAGGCAGTGGCAAGCTCGCTCAAGGGCGTTGAGTCTCCTCGTGCGGTAGCATAGATTTTGCTAATCTCTGTTGCTGGGCGGGAGGAGAGTTCGTGCACGAGCGCAAGACCGAAGCCATACTTGGGCTGTCTGTTGTAAATCAGGCAGCATGTACTCCTATGTGAGCTTCAAGTTGACCTCATTTGATTCTAATGTAATCACATTACACTAGGCCACACGACTCACAATACTTCCCATAGTCTATGAGTCGTCAAATTGCTCCCTAGTCTATGTACAGTATGTCTGGATGAGCCCTAGCGCCGGCTGGCACGATCCTAATGATAAGTTGCAGTAGCTGCAAGTCTTGGACGCACCCGGGCGGACCTAGTTGAGATTACACGCAGTCAGATGCGATACCCAAGCTCGACTGTACAAAAGGTTCCGAAGTTAAATGCAAGTTATCACGCATAAGTAGTCCAGCATCTTCTAAAATACCACCACACACCCAACTAAGTATACCACGTCGGCGCCGGCAGCTCCCCCAACAAGATATACCGCCCCAGCTCCCGATTCTTATACGCGACGGGATCATGCAGTGTGTGTGTCCGAATATCCCGCCAGAACCGATCGAGCCCGACCTTCAGTGAGGTGGCCCTCGCCCCCGTTACCTCGAAGATGCCATTGGTGACCCGCAGCCCCACGTCCGTGGTGACGACCTTTACGCTGGCGATCCACTCGGCCACCTCGCCGCGTTCCTCCGCCGCCAGCGCCGGCCGGTCCGCGCCGTAGTGCGCATACAACCCAGCGAGCTGCTCACCCGCGCGATCGGCCAGCGCTTCCGTGGCACGCAGATGCGCGAAGAAGTTCCCGTACCGCTCTAGAATATAGAACTCGTCGGTGGCAGAGGTCTTGTTGTCGCCGCCGAAGGGCCAGGCGCGCGTGTGGGCGGTGGTGTATTTGGCGGCGAAGTCCAGGGCGCCTAGGGCGATGCCCAGATAGAAGTTGCTGAAGACTAGTTGGATTCTATGGGAGGTTAGCCTTGCTCATGGACAATACTGGTAAGGTAGGGGGGTCTTACGTGGGTAGCAGCAAGCTGGCGAAGGGGACGCCGAGCACATCTTGCCGTGGTTGCTTGGTGGAGGCGTCCCAGCCCAGCGCGTCGGTCCACGGGGCGCGGACGTTCTCGATCTTCACGCCTCCGGACTCGGTCAGACGCAGACCGATGTTTTGCCAGTTGTGCGCGAATTGGATCCCGGGCTGTCGGGTCTCCACGAGGGCGAAGATGTGTTGGTCTGTGCCCTCGAGGACGCCTTCGAGCACGGTGAGATCGGAGACCACACCCCCCGTGTTGAAGAATTTGGCGCCGTTGAAGACGATGTGCTCCCCGTCAGAGGTGATCTTGAGGTCGCTGTCGCGCGGATTAACCGCTCCACCGACAAAGTAGTTGTTGGTGATGATCAGCTCGTGCGTGCGCTCGATTTGGTCGGGGGTGCCGACTACATTGGCGGTGGTGGACCAGAGGAGATGGTAGCCGAGCAGCATGCCGATGGAACTGGGGAAATGTGAGCTGCGGTGAAAGAAGGTATGCAGGAAGTGCGATGTGGGAAGCTCACCCATCTGCCTTGGCCACTTCTCGGATGGCTTTGTACCCTACTTCCCACGACTGCTCACCTCCTCCGTACTTCTTAGGACCCAGTAGCTTCAGCAGTCCGGAATGCTTCAGCAGAGCCACCTCGGCTCGGGGCGATTTGTTCTCCTGGTCCCTTTGTGCGGCATCCCGAGAGAGTACTCCGGCCACCTCCCGTGCTCTGCTGATCCAGCCTTCTGCTGTGGTAGGAAGTGAGGACCACTGGTCTTGATAGGCGCTGTAGATAGTGGGATCCGTCGCTGGAACGCGCGCTTGCGCCATGGTGGATGTTCACGGTGTGTGAATGCGGTGGTAGTGCTCCTGCTTGTAATCTACAAGTCACCAGTCTTGGATGTATAGTCACTCGAGGACACAGCAGAGAGCATTTATACACATCTTCACGGATTGCTCATATGGCATGAGTATGGCGTAGCAAAGACAATTGGTGATCCGCACATGTCGATCCCAAGGTGATTGCCGGGAGTTGAGCGATTCGTCAATCCCGGAAATGATGTCGTAATTGGCCCCAAGTTTGGGATACACCCAAAACTGCCTGCAGTGCTCTGGCGATAGGAGTGTGGGGGATTCGCAAGACCCCACATGCTACTTGTTGCAAAGAACCGTGCGATCGGAGACTGCGATTGCGTGACGGGCCGCAATTCAGGGCCCGGTGGGTCCGAGGTTCTCGGCCGAGATGCCTCCCTCCACACTGGTCATGGAGTCCGAAGCTCATGAGATGAATTTAATTTTGGTTTCTGATGCGAAAGGGGATATATTGAAACAAATGCACTGGGACCAGAAAAGATCCAGATTCCGAATGCCACTTCCACATCCATCTTGCGGCGTGCCTGGGCCATCCCGCAACATGTTTTCACATCATAGCTGCTCCATACTTCCCATCAAGCCCGACAGCTCAGCCTTATGCTTGCGCGCTATCAAAGTCTTACCGGTCGCCGGCTCTATCGAGTCAATATTTCTAGCGCACTTGGCAGCAAGATTGCTCGACGAAGCGGCGCGCCAGGAAAGACGGAGACACGCGGAGATGGGGCTGAAGTACGGACAATCGCGGGATTAAATCGCACGTTGGCGATAAGAAAGAGGGAGCACCTGCGTAGGAGAGGTCGGAGCTCAAATAAGAGGACATTTCGAGCACAACCGTGCAGGCGACGGCGACAGCGTAGCGTATCTTTGACCCTGCAGCATCCAATGACTTAGAGTCGGATGAATACCGTTGCAGAAGTGGCTGCCACGGATGCACGACAGTATTGAAGCGGTCATCGACTTAGTGGCCTCGAGAACGGCGTATGCTATATTGCCCCATAAGACAGTTCGGAGACCAACTTGCTCGTGAGCGAAAGCCGTCAATAGTAAAGCAGCATGGCTACTTTCGTGGCCAGCATCGCGGACCTGGATATGACCAGCCATGTACACTGTGAAATACCTGCAGTAAGTCTACTGCGGAAGTAACATTTCAGTACATTCGATCAGCGGGTCGACTTACCAAATATGCGGACTACGTATAGGCTAGGATATAGAAGCTGGGTGAGATCTTAGACACATGAGAATGAAGACCCATTGCATAATGCGTGCCGATTAGGCTGGAAATGGACACAAGATTGGCAATTGTCTAGCCCGCCTAGCAGCGGTATCAGCATCAAGGAACTAACCATGGGTCTCGGGTATAAACCGACCGGAGCAACAACAAGCGCATAGTCCTCTCCGACAAGACTCTTGGAAAATGAATATTGTGTATTCATCCGACTGGCAGCGGCAACATCTAGAATGCATAGCACGATACACAGTCCTAGAGCCAGAGGCCGGTGTGACTGCGACGACGCCTACTCATTCACGGTCGGATAACGAGGGTCATGAACAGATGTTGAAGCCCATTCTGAGAGAACAAGCAGAAGGAAATCGAGTGGCCGGCGAGGGTCGCTGTAGGACGCATTTATATCCCTTCAACGGGCACAGAGGTGGGCTGAGCGCTGGCCCCCATTGTGCGAGGACATTGCCATGCAATGTGCTATGCTGACGGGGCGTGCTATCATGCATACACCCACGTGTGTGAAGTCTTCCTTGTAATTCTAGCCCCAAATTCTTGCGGGGGAATGGTGATTTCTAGAACTTCGCCCCCCACTGGGAGAGCACGGTCGATGCTTGGCACTGGGTAGAGCTTGGATTATATACTTCATCCACAGGCTGTTTGTTGTGGTCTGACATGGCTGTGTGTATGATGACTGATACACTCAGCATCACCCCAAGAACATGGGCAGCAGGACAGCGTACATACCTGGATTACACAATTATTGATGTAGATGCGTTGTGGTTGTTGTGGTAGTGAACTTCATACTGGCATAATGATACACACCCGCGCTATACCCGAACTGGCAGGGCGGTTATCGATAAGTGCAAACAGGACATACGGCTGAGTCAGCTGCTGACTGGCCAGTGGCGGGGCAAAAAAAAATACCGAGTCCGATCCTGCGTCAACTCCCAATCTCCAACACTCCAACTCTTCATTTTGGTGCATTTGCGGTTTGCGTCCGGAGGTCAAGATGTCGATGGATTTGGATGCGCCAGTTCCCATGTTGGGGCTGCAGGACCAGCCCCCGGTCGCTGCGACGTGAGTCTTACCGCCAGCCTGGTTTGGCCGGAATTTCGCTCATATTTCCTAGGATTCTGTGCTGCAACTGCGGTGCCCCCATCGATGGAACCACTTCTGCTGGTGCTATGTGCCAGGACTGTCTGAAACTGAACGTCGACGTCACCCAAGGGTAAGTTCGGATTTTACTTTGGTATCGGGTTCGCAGACGGAACTCATGCTGATTTACTCCGAAATCTAGCATCCAGCGCGAATCGACCCTCCTCTGCTGCAAAGACTGCGAGCGGTGGCTCCAGCCCCCCAACCAGTGGGTGGTTGCGACCCTCGAGTCCAAGGAACTCCTCGCCCTCTGTCTGCGTCGCCTTCGTGGCTTGTCGAAAGTCCGCATCATCGACGCCAACTTTATCTGGACCGAACCCCATTCGAAGCGCATCAAGGTCAACATCACAATTCAGCAGGAGGCCTTCCAGGGCACGATTATCCAACAGTCATTTGAGGTGGAATACGTGGTGGCCGGCCAGCAGTGTCCTGGTATGTCTTGCAACCACTTTCGCTCCAGTTCGACTCAGGCTTGCGTCAATCAGGCTCGCTAACATCACTGCAGATTGCCAGAAGAGTTTCACGCCCAACACGTGGCGAGCTGCAGTCCAGGTCCGACAGAAGGTCCCTCACAAGCGTACCTTCCTTCACCTGGAGCAGTTGATCCTGAAGAACGACGCTCACAAGGATACGGTCAATATCAAGGAGGCCAAAGATGGTATCGATTTCTACTTTGCGCAGCGGAACCACGCCGAGAAGATGGTCGACTTCCTTGCCTCTGTGGTACCGTGCAAGATGCAGAAGTCCCAGGAGCTCATTTCCATGGATGTTCACACCAGCACCAAGTCCTACAAGCATACCTTCTCGATTGAGTTGATCCCCATCTGCAAAGACGATCTCGTCGCATTGCCGCTCAAGCTTGCCCGCCAACTTGGAAACATCGCCCCCCTCACCCTCTGTCACCGCGTCGGAAACAATGTGAATTTCTTGGATCCGACTACTCTGCAAACGGCCGACGTTCAAACCGGCGTGTACTGGCGGTCGCCGTTCAAGAACCTCGCCGACGTCACCCAGTTGAAGGAGTTCATCATTCTGGATATCGAGCTTACCGGCCAGTCGAATGGCCGTTTCCACCTTGCCGAGGCCACTGTGGCCCGCGCCTCGGACCTTGGCTCCAACAACACCACCTACTTCTGCCGCACACACCTTGGCGGTATCCTGCACCCCGGTGACTCCGTTCTCGGCTACCACCTGAGCGGCACCATCTTCAACGACGACAACTTCGACGCGATCGAGCAGAGCCACCAGTACGGATCGACGATCCCGGACGTCGTGCTCGTCAAGAAGTTCTACGCCCGCAAGAAGAAGCCCAAGAGCCGCAACTGGCGCCTCAAGCGCATGGCCCGCGAGTACGAGGAGGAGGCCCTCGCCAGCGCTGGCCAGCAGAGCCGCAAGAAGGAGCAGGAAGCCAACCGCCTGGAGGAGGACTTTGAGATGTTCTTGCGCGATGTCGAAGAGGACGAGGAGCTCCGCCAGACCCTGGATCTGTACAAGGTCCGGAAGCAGCCCCAACCGGCCGATGCTATGGATGAGGAAGAGGACAACGAGAGCGAGGATGAGACGCCGCAGATCAACATGGACGAGCTGCTTGACGACTTTGATGAGCTGAATATGGATGATGATTGAGCTTTCTGCGAGTAATATCCCTGATGATCACGGCTGGTGTTTATATTCTACTTTTCTGAGGGGTTCATGTCGATAAAGAAAAGTTTTATTACCCCCTTGTTGTTTTTCTTTAAATCCAGGTTTCATAGCATCCATGCATTTCACCCTTTCATCTTGGCCACGAATATAGATGTTCACAATGACAGGTCTTGCGTAGTTTTGCTAATCCTCTCGCTTTCTGGTCAGATTGACCCATCGCAATGTTGCAGCTGGCTTGGTGGGGACCGGGAAGGGACCAACCAATTCAAACAAACAAGCCAAACTTGCCGAAAATAGCCATGGCCAAATGGCCCCACCGCAGCTTATCGCCGATCGGGCTATCTTACCGCGGCGATGATATCCAACTCATCTCCAATTTGATGCTTGGCCCGGTCAATAAATCCCTCATGTGGCTTGTCTAATTCGTTGCCTTGCCTTCGAGAAGTCGGTGGAATCTTCCGACATGTCGTCAACCATAGTCAACAAACGAGACCACGGCCAGTCTCGCTGAAGGTCCATCATGCTCTCTGCTCATTCGCATAAAGAGCCGGACATGGTATTCACTCCGTATGCTTCGAATACCGTGATGTCAGAAAGCAGGCAAAAGTCACGATAAGGCAATGCATCGATCCATCTGGCTGACTGTGGTCGGTGCAAACGCATGATACTCAGTACGTACTTCACGCACAGCTTATCGGGCCAATCAACGAGGCCCCTTGCCTCTCCGGTCCAAATCATCCAAATCATCCAGTTCGTTTCAAACACCAGGGAACGGCACATGCCCCTAAGTTTGGCGGTTCTAGCATGTAACATGCGATCGACCCAATGTTTTGCTGGAGCCAATTGACTGCCAAGGGCCCGGAACAGTCACCTGTGCAGCCCTGGTGATGCAATTCCCGGATGCCAAGCAGGATCGCCCGGGTTTATTTGATCGCCGTCCGCCCTGCGGCTTGTCCATCTTCCCTCTTTGTCTGCCTGGCTTTTATGTCTGACTGCAGAAAAGGACCGTCACTCGGATGGTGCCAGCATGCATGCATGCTGATAAGCCGGGTGTGATGTCTCTTGTCGGCCTTGTGTTCGGAGTCTAAGTCTATATAGCCTGGCACACCTCCGAAAGTCCCCGCGTGGAAGGTCTTCTAGGCCCTCTGTTTCGCCGTTCTCGACACCCGCAGAAAAGCAGTGTCGTTAGACTGTAGGCGTGGAAATGCATTCACATTCGAATCTATTGAACTCCCTCACGTTCTTGCTCGCGACAATAGGGGCTCAGCCCGGAAGTGCCTATGTCGCGCAAACCCCTCTGACGGGCGACACCTGCACGCAAACGACCGTGGCCATCCTGTAAGCCGATTGGCATTAGAGTTTGGAAGATTGTTCGTCAACACTAACTGGCTCAGGGGAGGTGGGATGGCCGGGGTGGCTGCAGCGGTATGTGGGTGTTGAGTAGCCCCCCCCCCGCCCCGCCGTGCTCAACCAACTAACCCGAGCAGCAAGCCTTGACCAATGCATCCGTCGCCGACTTTGTTCTGGTGGAATCGCGCGAGACTCTGGGAGGTCGGGTGTGGCATACGGACTTTGGGAAGGATAAGGACGGGAACCCGTACGTGGTGGAGTTCGGGGCCAACTGGGTATTTTCCCCGTATTCGACACAGTTTAAGGCTGAGCTTTAAAACTGACTGCGCCCCACCATATTAGCTACAAGGATTGGGTTCGGCTGATACTGGTACGTCGCCAGTACCTCCCTTCTACTAGACTTCAACAACAGACTGACCATTGCGACAGTAAATCCTGTCTGGGCTTTAGTATGTGTCGTGACTCTGTATACACTGAACCACGCTAACCGACAGGCTAAAAAACACCATCTGCGCAACACCTACTCCAACTACAGCTCGCTCCGAACGTACAACGAGACCGGCGAAGCCGACTATCAATATCTCCTCGACGAATATGCTCGAGTCTACGAAATTGCCGCGCGCGACGCCGGCCGGATCCTGATGGAGAACCTGCAAGACCAAACCGCCCGCACGGGGCTTGCCCTGGCAGGGTGGCGCCCTCGCAAGAACGACATGGCCGCCCAGGCAGTTGAATGGTGGAACTGGGGTATGATCCGCTGGAAACTTCGCCAATCCGTCATAGGAAGAGCCCCCACCGAGGCAGACAGGGCATACTCCCCCCCTTTGCTTCCCTTCCAGTGACCCCCAAACCCAAGGGAGCCCGGCTGTGGACTAACATGTGTGCTGTGTGCGACATCTAGATTGGGAGGATGCCTCCCCCCCGGAGACGAGCTCCTTCGTATTCGGGATGGCCGGCGAGAACCTGACCTTCAACCAGTTTGGCAAGGCGAACCACTTCGTCCTGGACCGGCGCGGCTACAGCACCATCATCGAGCAGGAAGCCGCCGCGATATTCCGCCACCGCCGCAACAAACCCAGCCCGCGTCTCCGACTCAACACCCACGTCACCACCATCGACCACTCCCCCATAGGCGTCACCATCCACACCGCCGACGGCGCCTGCATCGAAGCCGCCTACGCGATCTGCACCTTCTCGCTGGGGGTCCTGCAAAACCACGCCGTGAGCTTCCGCCCGCCGCTGCCGCGGTGGAAGCAGACCGCGATCGAGAAATTCAACATGGGCACCTACACCAAGATCTTCCTGCAATTCCCCCATACCTTCTGGCCCACGGACACCCAGTTCTTCCTGTACGCCTCCCCGACCACGCGGGGCTACTACCCGATCTTCCAATCCCTCTCCTCGCCCACCTTCCTCCCGGACTCTCATATCTTGGTCGTCACCGTCGTCGACGAACAAGCCTACCGCGTCGAGCGCCAATCCACCGCCCAAACCACCGCCGAGATCTTGGAGGTGCTCCGCGAGATGTTCCCCACCACCCCCATCCCGCACCCGACGGACGTCTCCTACCCGCGCTGGTCGCAGGAGCCCTGGGCTTACGGGAGCTACTCCAACTGGCCGGCGGGGACGACCCTCGAGATGCACCAGAACTTGCGGGCCAATGCGGGCCGCCTGTGGTTCGCGGGCGAGGCGACCAGCGCCCCGTACTTTGGGTTCTTGCATGGCGCGTGGTTCGAGGGGCGGGAGGCGGGCGCGCATGTGGCGGCGTTGCTGCAGGGACGGTGTATGGAGTTGCGGGGAAGTGGGCATGAGGGTCGGGAGAACTGTGGGGAGCGGATGCATTACGAGCCGTTGAATGGGACGACCCCGCTGGAGGCGTATAGTATGGTCAATGGGTGGCCGGTGAGTAGTACGGACTGGTAGGGGTAACACCCCCCTTGGTAGCGATAGGATTCGGCAATGCATAAAGCGTGAAGCGTGAAGCGTGAGACCCGGTCGCTTGGGGCTGTAGATGGTGGGGCAGGAATATTACCTACTACCTCGTGAGGTAGTAGCCTCGGAAGTACTTAGTTGGGGTTGAGGGAAATGCTGTGGCGGATACACTCGTGAGTAGTCCGATGTGTGAGGGGGCAGAGATGCATCCATGTGAATAGAGACGGTGCACAGGGAGATGCGGGTCGGTTGTTCTTGCGGGTCGCGTATGGGAGTGAACTTGAGTTAGGGATGGGATTCGGGCTCTGGAATATAAAAGACATCTAAAGGATCACAGTGATTGAAGCATGACATACAGTGACTGCCTTGATTCATGCTGCGACCTTTCATACAATATTTGATCTCATTTGTTCGACACTGGAATCACCGATATAGCCGGCCCGAAGGCTATGCAGTACTCTCATAAAGAGCATCTGCTAAAGACACTGGTTCTTTCTCGAGAAGTGGTGACATATTCTGAGTCAGAACTGCTATCTTTCAAGATTCTTTTTCATACCGTTTATATTTGGGCTTGACAACCATACTCCAGCATCAGCTGATTATCAACCTGTTCGTACTATTTTGGTAGGTGTCTATGAGCAATAGTGTACCACCGCCGGGTGCGGAATGCCAGACGTCTGCCTACAGATAGACCCTTGTTGCACCAATGGACAGTACTTGCATTCCAGACTGCGTCGCCGACTTCGAATTGCCCTCAGAAGGGGATCCATCAGATTCGCACCCGCCTGCCTACCTATCTAAGGCCGAATATCGGAGAGATGCGTGTTCACTATATCAGTCAGATACAGATAGAGAGCCGCAAGGAGAAGAGAGACGATTACCACACCGGCGGTATACACCGACCTGGGAGGCCGCATCTGTCCGTGGGAGGACCGCAAGCACCACTCGAGCGCCTCGACCAACTCGGAGCCCCAGGGGTGGGAGCTCGGGAGGATTTCCAGATCCTGGGTCTCGTGCGGCGAGCCAGGCAGGACTTTCATTTCCACATTAACCCTAAGAATGGGACAGGGACTGTCAGCATGGACCAATCCACCCATCGCCATCTAAACAAGGCTGACTCGTAGAATGAAGGAAGGAAACTCACCCCTCGCGCATCAACAGCGTCGCGAACAACAACTGCCTCCGCCGCAACAGACTCTCCGCAAAGGTCAACAGATACGTGTCCGGCATCGCCTCAAGCGCCGTCCACATGCCCATCCCATGGTGACCCGGCTCAACACGGTAGACATTCAGCAACGCGTGATAGAAATCATATCCAGCTGCATTCCCCCTCCCCACCTCCGTTACTTCAGTTTCTCTTGCCCGTTCCTTCCCCTTCCCCTTCCCGCCCCCCTCCCCGGGATCCCGCTCCATAACCCTACTCCCCACCCCAAACGCCTCCCCGACCTCCTCCCACCGGTCCAAAAGCGGCATCCAGGGGTTACAGACCACCAGCCCCTGCACCTTGATCACCCTCTCGGACCTGGTCTCCACCTCCCGCCGGCCGGCGACATTGCTGCGCGCAAACCAGGCCACCCACGCCGCCAGCGCCGCCCCGGCGTCCTCCCCGCCCACAACCACCCGCGTGGGGTCCCCGTTCAGCCATGCGATGCGCCGCTCCAGCCAGCTGAACACCTCCCACGCGTCCTCGAAGGGGTCCGGGAAACTCACATGCGTCGTCTTGCGGTAGTCCGCGCTGACTACGATGATGGGGCGGCACTTGGCGTAGAGGGATGCCACGAGCCGCGCACAGGTCGCGTCTTCGCTGTCCAGCGTGCCGGTGAAGAAGCCCCCGCCGTGGAAGTAGAGGTAGACGGGCAGGTGGAGCGGGGTGTAGCCTTGGGGTTTGGGGGCGTAGACCCGGGCGGTTAGGGGGAGGGCCGTTGGGTGGCTGTGCGGGCTGGTGGTGGTGGATTGGGAGGACAGCTGGATGGGGCGGTGGATGTGGTGCGTTTGGATTGTGACTTTGCTGTGGAGGTCTGTGGTGGTTGTGATGGTGTTAGATTTTGGGCTGGATGGGTTGCCGGGTGGGGGTGGGGGGAATGAAGGACTTGCTCTCGCGCTCCATCGCTGCTTGGGATACGGCCTCGCGGGCGAGGTTCTGTTGTTGTTGGATGTCCAGGAGATGGAGTTTGCTGGGTGGGGATTGCGGCGGCTGTAGGATGGAGGGTGGTTTGGGGGTGGAAATGCTGGCTGCTGGGGCTTCATCATTTGAAGGTGGAATGGGTGTTTTCATTTCGACGCGTTTATCAGCGAGGTCGTCGTCTTTGATGTCTAGCATCTTGCTCGCAGAGTGATAAATCTTCTGGAATATGAATGATGAGAAGAGGCTAGATGAGTGGTTGAGTGGACAGTATCAACTCTGAAGAGATATCGTGGTAGCTGGCAGTCACCTGAAACATGGAGTTGTGTAGATGCTACTTTCCACCGCTGAACACTGAGATAGGTGGCAGGTGTCTGCTAGACCTAAGTGTTGTGGTAAGTATGGATCTTTGTGTGTGGTACGCGACTGCCCTTTGTGTGTGATTCGACACCGGTCTTTGTCCGGCCTGTTTACTGGAACGACCTATGAGACTCATGGGCTGCCATGCCATAAAGACCGCCGAATGTTAGTCGGAATCTGGCTGATAAAGAAGCTTGTGGATTGATGAGCATACTGGCCAGCAACCCTACTGTTGATAGCGGGGTGAGTGCAGCTCCAAGAGGACCATTAATTTCTGTTTCCACATTCATAGTACCAAACATATTACACGTTGCTACTTGTGTCTAGGGAGTAAGTCCTCAGCTCCTGTGTCACTTTGCGCTTTCTTAGTCTGATGAGCAACGGTTGCTGTCTACTTTTGAGATGTACAGAACTGTGTGCGCCTTCCAATAATCAGCTATCACTGTTCCACCATCTCTACCTACTTATAGCCAAGGAAAAAGCACCAGAACCGTGCTAATGGAATTGTGATTGAGCATAAAGTCCTAGATCCATATACATTCTACTCTGTCTCCTCTCATCGAACCCAAGCCCATATAAGTATCAACGACAGCGGATATGCGGCTGAATCGATCATCCGAAGATAGGGTTCTTGACGTCAGAACGGCGACTTCGTTCCTGAGGCCGAAATATCCGAGTGTAACCATCTCACCCATTTGACTTCCCGAGGTTATCGCAGAAGCACTGACGCTCAAACCTGCTGACCGAAACTCAGTGCCGAAATTAGATTCTAGGGGCAGGTCATGGGGTCGGTTGAATGGCAAACCAGAGACTAACGCTCAGACTAGGTGTGCAGAACACATCCACAGCAAGCAGCCACTGTGGTATCCGTCTAGTAGGCAAAGTACTCCCAGAATAGAGATCTTCGACACGTCAGGTGTAGAGTAGCCAGTTAAGCCAGAATTCCATTAATCGTCATGCAAGGAACGATGCATACTACTGCGATTCAAATGTACAAGCAAGCAAGCAATAATACAAGAGCCATGCATCCGCTAACCGTGAGAACGCTTTCAACTCAACCCTCTCCCCAAAATCAAACCAAATTGCCCCGCAGAGCCTGCTCCCGCTCAATCGCCTCGAACAGCGACTTGAAGTTCCCGGCCCCGAACCCGGAGAAATTGTGCCGCTGGATGATCTCGATGAACACCGTCGGACGGTCCATGAGATGCTGTTGCACGTCAGTCACCCACACCCCTCGTAATCATCCCAGGGTGGATAGGAAAGCCTACCTTCGTAAACAACTGCAACAAATACCCCCCCTCATCGAAATCAATCAAGATGTCCAGCTTGCGGATCTCGTCAAAGTCCTCGTGCAGCACCAGGCCCGCCTTCTTCAGCCGGATCTTGATGTCCTCGTAGTAGGTGTCGGGCACCTTGATGAACTCGACCCCGCGCGCCTTGAGGTTGGTGATGGCCGCGAGGATGTCGTCCGTCAGCAGCGCGATGTGCTGCACCCCCGCCCCGTTGTAGAAGTCCACGTACTCCTCGATCTGCGACTGCTTCTTGCCCTTGGCCGGCTCGTTGATGGGCATCTTGACGACTTCGTTGGGCGAGGCCATGACGATGCTTTTGAGGGCGGAGAACTCGCTGTGTTTGAGGGAGGTTAGCAGGTTGGGTCATAGGCTGGGGAGGGGGATGCACGCACGTGCAGATGTCTTTGTCGTCGACGGACCAGAAGCGGTGGAAGCCGAGGGCGTTTTCGTAGCTAGATCGGTGTCAGTCTCGGTGTATCATTGGACAGGTTTCCTGTTTCATGATCATGATGGCTTGAAAAGGAGACATACTATTGGCAGATCTTGTCCATCTCGTCCCAATCCTGGTTTCCCACGCAGTGATCGATCCGTCGCAGATGCACCCCCGGCAGCAGAGCGGTGATCGGGTCGGCATCGCCCTTCTCCACGCGGTACCCCGGCAGGAAGACGCCGTGGTACTCGCCCCGCTCGATCAGGGTGTGTGTCGTCTGTCCGTACGTCTGGATGGTGGCCACGCGCACCCGACCGTCAGCGTCCTCGAGGGGCCGCGGGCCCGAGACGGCTTTGGCGCCGTTGGCCACCGCGGCGTTGTAGACGGCATCGACCGAGTCCACCTCGAAGGCTACATCCTTGACGGCGTCACCGTGCTGCTCGAGGTGGGCGTGGATCTCGCGGAGGAGGTCTTGTTCTTCGGGGTCGAAGCGGGCGAGTTGGTCGAGGGAGCGCAGGGGGGAGGTCAGGATGAAGGTGATGTCGCCGTTGCGCACGACATGCGAGCAGATGGCGCGGCTGTTGGTCTCGAGGCCGCGGTAGGCAATCCGCTCAAAGCCCATGCGGGTGATGTAGAAGGAGGCGGCTTGTTTGGCGTTGCCGACGTACCAGTGCACATGGTCGTAGCCTTTGTAGCTGGCGAGGCTAGAGGTGCTTGTGGGTAGGGAGGGGGAGGTAGGAGGGGAGGTGGCGATTGGGGCCATGGCGTTGGATATGCTTATCTCTGTGATGGATGTCTAGAAGTGGTTGCTCAGGTAGATAGATAGGTAGGTAGGTTGATAGGAAATAGATAGAGGTGGTTGGGGAAGTGATATTGCTTGGTTGTGGTAAGAAAGGAACCCCGAGGCTTGCTGTTGGAGTTCTACGGATGGACAAAGGTGGGCTTATAACACTATCTAATGACGGATATCGCCATCTTCACTCTTGCTGCACGCGGATACTCTGATGATAACGAGGCCCGAGGGCTTGATGGTACAGAGTAAGAATCCAGTCTATTTCCCGGATAGGCAGGGAAGGGCTTCGGCTGCGGGCGGACAACTCCGGCTGGCGGCGGGTGTTTCAGCAAACATCCGGAATGAATGTCTCGGACGGTTAGACGCGCTTTTCTGACGCGGATTTGACTCTGCTCAGATGGCCCAGATAGCCCAGATAGCCCAGATATACTCCGGGCTATCTGCTCGTTCTCCTTGAAAGAGAGAAAGAGTGCTATCATAGAAAAAGCATCCTTCACCAGAAGTCACCTCCACCTTCACCTACCGGCACACAACCTCATACCTAAGTTGCTCTCCACAACTCAAGACTACGCAGACACACACGCTCACAATGACCACAATCGACCCCTGCAAACCATCCCTCACATCCAACGACTCAGCCGTCCTGCAAGCCCTCTTTGATGCAGAGTCCTCTCCCTCCTCCGCTCTCGCCATCGACGCGACCCTTCCCACATTACCAGCCCACCTCAACATCTCGCCAGAGAAGCATGAATCCCTCAAGTCAGCCGAGCTGGAGATCATCCGCTCGCTCCAACAACCAGAGCCCTCGCTCTCCACCGTCCAGAAAGCCATCACCAACCTGGACCTCCTCATCACCGACGCACCCACCTATCCCTCCGCCTACATGAACCGGGCCCAAGCCCGCCGTCTCCTGATCGACCTCACCCTTATCCCATCCTCCTCCTCGCCGCCCTCCTCGAGCATCCAAGATCCAGAGACAGACACAGACACAGACACAGACACCAAGCTCTTCGCACCCGTCAACCGAGCCCTCGCCTCCGCCCTCCTCGCCGACCTCACCCAGGCCATCCAGCTTGCCAGCCCACGCGCCCCCGTCGATCCCGTCTCCCCGGGCCAAGCACGCATCCTGGCAGACGCATACACACATCGGGGGTACCTCCTGTTGAAAGCCGCGAGATTCCGACACTCCCACGGAGAAGGCGGTCCGGAGCGGTTGGACGGGCTGGGGGCACAGCAGCTGGAGGAGATGGCGAGCGGGGATTTCTTCCTGGGGGGTCGGTTCGGGAGCAAGGTCGCGCAGCAGCTGGCGGTGCAGACGAATCCGTATGCGAAGATGTGTGGAGCGATTGTGAAGGAGGCGTTGCGGAAGGAGGTTGCGGCGGGGTCGGTGATGGATTGGTGAGGATCAGGCCATATTGCATTGAGGCTGAATCTCGGGGTCTATACTTCATGCATTATTGTAAATAGAACCAATGTGATCTCATTCTTCAGCTTATCATGCTATTGCTGTCCTTGAATTCGAGTATATGTAGAGTGAGACGCCGATTGAGCGAATTTGTTGAAGAAGACGCCGACCAAATCGAACAATCCGGATAGGCTGGGGGCTGTCCGGATCGGGGATAGTGCCAGACAAACCAGCCAAACAGACCAAACAGGGGAATCCCGAGATGACGTGATCGCCGAGACCGGCAATTGGCTCTTGGGGATTTAATGCTTACAGTTGACTTTCAGGTACCATACAATTTCACTGAATATCTTCTTTTTGATCTTCATCCTCTTCCTCCATCCTCCGCTCCATTCTCTCTCCCTCCCTTGCTCACAATCACCGTCGGTGACATCCTCACCACAATGTTCCGCAGCAGCGTCACCCGCGCCGCCCGCGCAGCCAACTCTCAGCCCACCATCGCCTCCCTCCGCACCTTCGCCACCGCCGCTTCCCCCTCGTCCTCCTCGTCCCCCTCCCCCTCCGCCGCCAACCCCGTCACTCCCTCCTCCACGCGCAACCACAAGATCGTTGTCATCGGCGGCGGCACCGCCGGCCTGAACGTGAGCCACCAGCTCCTGCACACCGGCCAATACACCCAAGACGATATTGCCATCATCGACCCCGCCGAATGGCACCACTACCAAGCGGGCTGGACCCTGGTGGGCGGTGGTGTGAAGACCAAGGAGGAGCTGCGGCGGCCGCTGCCGGGGCTGGTGGACGCGAAGCTCAAGCTGTACGGGCAGGCGGTCGACAGCTTCACGCCCGACCAGAACACGGTGACGCTGGCCAACGGCGACCGGCTCGGGTACGAGCAGCTGATCGTCGTGCCGGGCATCCACGTCAACTTCGACAGCATCAAGGGCCTTCCGGAGGCGCTGGCCGACCCCAACAGCCTCGTCTCGTCGATCTACGGGTATGAGCACGTCGACAAGGTGTACCGCACCCTGAACAAGCTGAAGGGCGGCAAGGCGCTGTTCACCCAGCCCGCGGGCGTGCTCAAGTGCGCCGGCGCCCCGCAGAAGATCATGTGGCTGGCCCTCGACCACTGGAAGCAGGCCGGACTCTACGACCCCGCCAACCCGGCCCAGTCGGCCATCCAGATCAGCTTCGCCACGGGGCTGCCCGGTATGTTCGGCGTGCCCAAGTACAGTGCCGCGCTGGAGGCGCTGCGCCAGGAGCGCGGCGTCGAGGGGCTGTTCCAGCACGATCTGGTGGCCGTCGAGGGCAACACGGCCACCTTCGCCAAGGGCGACGGGTCGGGCGCCCAGGTGCAGCGCCAGTTCGACCTGCTGCACGTCGTCCCCAAGATGGGACCCCACGCGTTCGTGAAGAACTCGCCCCTGGCCGACGCGGCGGGCTTCGTGGATGTGGACAATGCCACCACCCAGCACAAGAAGTTCAAGAACGTCTGGTCGATCGGCGACGCCTCCAGTCTGCCCACTTCCAAGACCACGGCGGCCATCACGGCTGAGGCGCCCGTGCTGGTGCGCAACCTGCTGCGCGCGGCCGAGGGCAAGGCGCCCGACGCGGAGTACGACGGGTACACCTCGTGTCCGCTGACGACCGAGTACGGCAAGGTGCTGCTGGCCGAGTTCAAGTACGCGGGCGTGCCCAAGGAGACATTCGGGGGCTGGTTCGGCATTGACCAGGCCGTGCCCCGCAAGGCGTTCTGGCAGCTGAAGAAGAACTTCTTCCCCTGGGTGTATTACAACAACTTGGTGAACGGTACGTGGGGCGGTCCTAAGGGATGGTTGCGGTAGATGTTTGTGGTACTGTATAGAAGTGTGATACTAGGCAGTGAGAAAATGTAATGTACATTCTTAGTTCAGCTGTGTGTTGTTGCAGTTATACTTAAAAACACGTACATTGAGAGCAAGTGGTCAGGAAATCTATATGTTGTAGATCCTCTTCATTTCCATCATCATCACCATCACCACCACCACCACCATAATATCCCCACTACAACATATCTCCTCCTCACCCGCTGCATCTACACCCAACCCCCCTTGCCCCTTGGATTATATCCCCCCTCTGCCCAATCAAAACCCCAGAAGAAAAAGGAAACTTAAAGCAATAACCTATCTCATTCATTATATCCATACAAATACATACACTCATAAGCCATCCTCCCTCAAGACCCATCTCCAACCTAAAACACCACCGATCCCGTCAACAACACATCAGCCACACTCTTCCCGACAAACAACCCATACTCGCCCTGCTGCAACACCCAACTCTGCACCCCGACATCCCAGGTACTCAAATCCCGCCTCGTCAACGCAAAGCTGACCTCCTTCTTCTGGCCGGGCTCCACCAGCTCCTTGACGAACCCGCGCAGCACCTTGGCCGGCCCACCGGGGATGCCCACATACAGCTGCGCGACCTCCTTGGCCGCCACAGCGCCGGTATTCTCCAGCGTACACGAGACGGTGACCAACACGTCCCAGAGGGAGGGGAGGCCGCCCTCGGCGACGACGCCATCCAGATCCGGCGGGGTGGGGCTTGTGGCGGCCGTGGTGGTGGTATTGACCACGAGGTTGCTGTACGTGAAGTCGGTGTAGGTGAGGCCGAATCCGAAGGGGAAGCGCGGGGTGATGTTCCGCGCCTCGAAGTGCTTGTAGTCGATGTACACGCCCTCGCTGAAGGTGTCCTGCGGGTAGTAGATCTCGGCCTTGTCCTTGGCGGCGGACGGCAGGGTCGGGGCCAGCAGGGCGCCGTAATCGGTGGCGTTGCGCGCAACGGTGTAGGGCAGGCGGCCGGACGGCGACTGCTTGCCGTACAGGACCTCGACCAGCGCGGCGCCGCTGTCCTGGCCGGGCAGGTGGGCGTACATCACGGCGGTGATGTTGGGGTGCTCGATCCAGGCGTCGACGGGCCGGATGCCCGCGTTGTGGATGACCACGATCGTGTTGTTGCATTGCGCGGCCACGTGCGTGACGAGGTTGTCCGAGTAGGCGTCGCTCAGCGCCGGGCGGTCCCAGCCTTCGGCCGCCGCGGCGTTGATGAACACCAGGCATGCCTCGCTGGCCGGGTTGACCAGCGGCGTCGCCGAGGTGAAGTCCCACGCCATGAAGGTGTTGTCGGCCCGCGCCTGGCGCTGCAGCGCGTCGAAGGGGGCGTCGATGTACGACGGCGTGCTCGCCCCGGACCCGCCCCCGGTGTACATCGTCCCGTTCAAGGCGATCCCCGGCCCCGTCGCCGTGGGGTCCGCGCTCGACAGGAAGATGTACTTCAGCATCGTCGGGTCCACCGCGCTGCCGTTGGGGTACGTCTGCGTGTTCGTCCAGCCCATCGTCCACAGGCTCCACGACAGGTCGTCCATCGTGTTCTGCGGCGCGGCGATGGCGTCGTAGCCGAAGAGCGAGAGGAAGCGCGGCGAGGTTAAGGGGAGCGCCTGCTTCGTGTTCTTGACCAGCACGTGGCCCTCGACGGCGCCCTGGAAGATCGTCTCCTTGGCGGCGGGGTCGCGCGCGTCCACGAGGGGGTGTGGCTCCAGCAGGCTGACCGGCAAGCCGTGGCCGGGGTTCTCCAGCTCGGCGTACTTATACCAGGCGGCGACGATGCGCGTGGCCATGTCGTCGAGTCGGGTCGCGGCGAGGGAGCCGTTGGCCACCGCCGTGGCCAGCTGGTTGCTGTCCCAGTACTCGGAGGAGGGCATGGCCATGTCCAGGCCGGCGGCGGCGCTGGCCAGCCCCGTGTGCTGGGCGCTCCAGTCGGAGACGACGAAGCCCTGGAAGCCCAGCTCGCCCTTGAGCAGCCCGTTCATGGTCTTGCTGTTCTGGCAGCCGTAGCTGTTGTTGATGCGGTTGTAGCTGCACATGACGGAGCCGGCGCCCGCCTTGACTGCGTCCTGGAACGGCCAGAGGTACAGCTCGTGCATGGTCCGGTCGTCGATGTTGGACGAGACCGACTGGTTGTGCGAGCCCGTCAGCATCTGCGGGCTGTTGCGGTTGGTCTCCTGCTCGTTGCCGATCAGGTGCTTGACGCACGCGATCACCGACTCCTGCAGTCCGCGGACCGTGTCCCCCGTCAGCGCCCCGGCCAGGTACGGGTCGTTGCTGAACCCTTCCCAGTTGCGGCCGCCGCGCGCGATGCGGCCCAGGGGCCCGGCCACGGGGCCCAGCGCCACGTTGACCCCCTTGCGCTTGAACTCGGCCCCCATGTACTGCGCCCGCTGGTAGGCCAGCTCCCGGTTCCACGAGGCGCCCACGTGCAGCCCGGACGCGTAGCCGTTGACCATGTCGGTGCCGCGCACGCCGCTGGCGGCATCCTGCAGGCAGATGCCGGGGTATCCCAGACGGGGGACGCCGGCCGTGTTGCCGGAGCAGCCGTTGGTGGTGGAGGAGTAGCCGTAGGTGATGTTGTTCTTCTCCTCGTCGGTCATCTGGGCCACCAGGGCTTTGGCCTTGGTGAAGGCATCTTCCCAGTCTCCTAGGCCTTGGGCCTCCGCTGTGGAGGGTTAGCGTGGGACTGCGAGGGGTGGTGGGTGGTGGGTGGTGGGTGATGCAGTGTTCGACTCACGTGTGGGATAGACGGGTTCCGAGCGGCCGTAGGACCAGTAGTGCTCGAGGTCGGTTACGTTGAGTGTACGGGGTTGAATGACGGCTGCGCCCGCCAGAGGCAGTGCTGCTGCCGTCAAGGGAACGGTGAGCTTCATTCTGGTCGAGCTTGCAACGACTCGGATGAAGGCTGGATGGGTTGTGATGGAGCTGGATCAAGAAGGCGATGCGGGGGGCTGTTTATATAGACATAAATCCAACCTGGAGAACTGCTCAATCCACCCCATCTCCGCAGTCCTCCTGTCTAACCCAGTCCGCCCAACAATCGGCCACCTCGAGGTTCAACTGCCGTCATCGTGGGCGAACATGACTGGTGACCGTGACGAGGCCGTCACCGTCTGCGTGGGCCGAGCTTGGCATCCGGCATGGAAAACTGGAATAGCCCGAAAAAGGCCAGGTGACTGAAGTCTAACTCGTCCCCTCCGATACTAGGAAGGAGAATAATGGCAGAGGTAGAGCTCTCAAGTGGACCGTGGGGTGTGACATCTGGAAGTTAGGGTTGGCGTTCGGGGAGAAACCGAGTCCGGGGATGGAGGCGGGCAAGAAGGGGAGGGGGAAAAATGCGGGGACTCCACGAGGAAACGAAAAGAATTCGGCCAATGCCGCCGTCGCACCAGCCGAGCCGTGCTGCCCACTGCCCACCACCACGTTCAACACCACCCCTCGGCAAAACTCCGGCGAATCCATGACTCTCTGCAAAGCAAGCAAGAATCCAGAGAAATTCAACTCTGGAGGTTAGACTATGGTCGACGCTGGGACCCATCCGAGTCACGCGGTTTGGGGGGAGTTTTGTCGCTTGGTGGCGGGTTTGGCGCTTCGTGACAGGCTCGTATCCCTCGGGGGCCGGGGCAGGCATTGTGGGTCCAGCTGGCTGTCGGTAATTCTTGCCCTCCCCTGCACTTTTTCTGCAGCAATTGGTGTTGCGTGGGGAGAATTCTGTGGGGTTGCGGTGCAAGAACCCGAGGATGTGGCTCGCTCGCACAGTGTGTGAGGTTATCATCACTCACATCGTGCCATGTGTGTCTCCTGTTTGGGGATGGTTGCCATGGCTTCTGCGGTCTAAGCAGGGCTTCGGTCCTTTCTGCCCGGGTTCTTCAGCTTCCTTCAGCATTAGTCAGGGATGGCTGAGTGGAGTGGGGCAATTCCTCTGGGGTAATGTTGACTTTAAGAAAACTCTTCTATGTTGGATATGTTTGGGCTCGGGGGAGACGTGTTTCATCAGCGAACATGAAAGGTACCTTCACAGGTTATAGCTATCAACGAATGTAGAAAGAGGCCGTAAAATGAGTTCTCTGAAGTTGTGCGGTTGAAAATGTGGGTGAATGGGTCTATTCACAATCCCGAGCACGGCTCCCTCACCCCGCAAGTTGGGGTTGCCGACGGGGAAAACGCGGGAGGGAAAAAGTGAACCTATGCCTGACCAACTGTCCATTGAGGAGCTATGTACGAAGAGAGTAATTTCTGGTCAAGCTCTTGGCCCGAATCGGCACCCATAGGTAGTCCCATCAGGAAATCTCCACGACCATCATGAATCAAAGCGTTTTCCATCCAGACTCACAACCACTCCTTCCGATGACACATCGTCATCCGACATTCACCATACTCGTAGTTCCGGTTAAGAATTTTACAGCAGACGGAAGAGTCTAGAAGTTAGCGCCATGTGGCAGAGCTTGGCAAAGGACTGGCCAGGAAAACGGTGACTGATTCACCAAGAAGCCAACCCCCGATGTTCGGAATCACTTCAAGCGGGCCTCCACGACCCTCATCGGCACCCCGGGGCTCTCCCAGACCTGGACCAACCGCAGCCCCGCCGCGTCGAACAGGCGCGCGAAGTCCTTGGCCGTCCGCTCGGTCCCGCCAAACGTCATCATCGTGTGATCCATGTAGGCGTAGGCCATGGTGGCGCCGACCGCGGGCAGGATCGTCTCCGTGATGAGGAGGCGGGATTTCTCCCGGTCCATCGCGGCGGCCAGCTGCGTGAGGATCTCTCGGACCTCTGCGTCGGGCCAGTCGTGCAACACGCGGCGGATGTAGTACACTAATGCGCCTGGGGTGGAGGGGTAGAGTCAGCTTGCCGGATGACTTTGATGCAGAGTCAATATAGCCCTCGTGACGTACCTTTTACAGGCTGCGGGGTGAAGAAGTCATGGGCCATCGGCTCGATGCCATGGCGGGTCATCTCCGGCCCATTGTCGCTAATGACACTGGCGCGGTCTTGGAGGATGAACCGTCCCGCTAGGCTGGGGGTGTTCTGCTTGATCTGGCGCATGATGTGGCCTCGTCCACCCCCGATGTCGACGATGGTCGGCTGATCCGCCTGCGCCAGCGGACTCAGTCGCTTCACGAACGGGTACAGCCCGATCTCGGCCAGGAGGGAGTCCTCGGCGACCATCGCGTTGTTGAGTCGGGTCAGTCGCTCGGGACTCTGGGAGATGTGCTCGAACATCGTCTGGCCCTCGCAGAGATGTACGAGAGTGTATGGGTTGCTGCGCAGGCCCATGCGATCCTGCCACTGGTGTTGGCGGAGGAATTCGTGGGTGCGCAGCATCGCCGGGCAGTATTCATCGACCGTGATATCCCGACATCGGATGGTGAGCGGACAGTTGCTGGTTGACTGACAAGGCAACCTAATTGAGACGCGGACGACAACTCACATGAGACTCAGGACGGCCCGCATCTGAGGAGCGAGATAGATCTCCGAGTTGGGGGTGTATACTCCTCCTCGCCGGTCTCGCGAAACGGTCCGAAGGGCGTGACAGCCCGCATCATGCGCACTGCCGCACGTCACATCGATGTCAGAACGCACCGGCCACGGGTCACCTCCATCCAGGAGAAAGGAGCTCACGATCGCACACCTATGACTTTTTTAACTCACCCCAGTACGGGCTGCTATGTCCGTGGCTGACATGCTCTGGCCGCTGACCGGGATGACATCGAATACTCCGGCTTCGAGAAGCGTGCGGATAGCGCCCAGACTGGCCATTTAAGGACCTCAAATGCATCTTGTCAGTTTCTCGGCGATACAGAAAAGATAGATGATCTGTCCGCCCACGCTTACATTCTCAAACTTGGCGAAGACCAGATCGGCAGGCCCGCGAATGGCCTGCACTAGGTGCATCGCCTTGACCAGCAATTCGTACCGTGCATTCTGGTGGCTAAGCGAGATTGCAGGGTATCGGAACTGGCCGACAGACTGCACCACCTCGTCTAGACACCGCTGGATGCGATCGATGCTGGGATCGAGAGGCGCCATGACAGGTTACACCGGCTACACACGCACACGGACAAGTTCGGCGGAGAGACAGGATATTATATCCGGAGACCAAGGGGGAAGGGGAGCCGCAAAGCCTTATAGATTGGTTCTTTTGCACGGGGTGCATACTGAGAAAGGGGATTGGAGGGCGGCCGATGTAGAGGGTGAAAATTGATACATCTCGAAAGGCAAATCAGGGTCTTATTGGCTAGACTCAAAAAGGCAACACGACCTGCAGGAATATCCAGCTGCCATTCGTGGGGCATTTGGGCCAGTAATTAGATCGACAGGAGATCTTTCCTGGTGCATTGTTGTGATGATGCTGGCATCGAGTGGGTCCGACACCTGTCACATTTGGCCCTTTGCTCTCTCCTTTCTGCACGGATGCTCACGGAATCTCAACGCCTTCAGGGGACGACGACAGAAAGATCAGGCGGAAGTTTTCGCGGCGTTCTCCAGAGCCACCAAGCCACTTTTCTGACGAAAGTTATTAAAATGTTTCGGAGAGGGCGCGAAAAGGCTGGCAAAGGCTGACGATGGCGGAACCAGGGCTGGAGGAATAAGCGGGGGGAGGAAGCCCTGATCTCTTGACTTCTTTTTCCGCGCTGCAACCACCGTCTTGGCCAAAGCCTAATCCCACCAAACAATCCATCTATCCAAATGACTCGACTTCGTTTCTGACAAATACACGTTCACCGACCGGTGGGCATCTGTTCTTCTGTTTTTCTCCTGAGATTTTCGTCGCTGCCGTCAAAAGAATAGGAGGAATTGCACCGGCAGTTCCAGGGAAAGCAAGCACATCCCGCAACGGGGAAGATCTGAGATAGGGGCAAACTGCGCTATCTGGATGCCTCCGCAATTATTGATCTTGCGTCCGGCCTTTTTTGCTTCGGGATGCGACTGGATGACAGGTCGTCTCCGCAAGCAGCGATCCTAGCCTGTCAATCGCAGAAACGGTGCGATCGTCAGGGAACGTACACCAGCACGTACTGTATGTACTTGGCCAGCCCGCCCCCGCCCACCCCCTACGTCTGGAGAACAAGGTCAATGTTCCAACGCTTGGACCCTCTCCTGCGGGCATCAAGTTCCGTCAGAGACAATAGGGTTGATCGGGGCCTTGTTGGGGAATTTTGGGTTTGTTTGCGATCGAGGTGTCACTTTGTCGGACCCATTTCGAGAAACAGTGGGTGAGGGTATGCTGTGGATGGTGGCGGTAATGGTCCGACCACATCGAGCTGGGCGTCAGCCAAGGAGGTACGATCGCCCTCCCCGCCCAAACTATGCAATGCAGGAGAGGCGACTATACCGGTAGTCAATGCATCTTGCATATGATCTCGTCAATGGGCCCGGGAGGGGGACCGAAAGTACGAACGAGCGAGCCAAAGGCTTGATTGGAGTGACAGGATATAAAGAAAAGCATGGACACAGGGTTGGCATGGTGGATTGTTCATTCCTGACTCGACGCAGCGCTTCTTTTCAATTGCATGCTAAATAGAGCTGCTGCTGCTGCTGCCCCAACCACTGCCGACCGGAACACCCAGCTGTTTCTCCATTCAACTCCATCATGTCAACCACCACATTGGATTTGAGCAAGGTGCCGGCGTCAGATCCGCCCCCCGGCGTCACAGCCAATTTTGAGAACCCGGAGAATCAAAACTACCAGATCTATTCTATCAACATCGCCCTTTGCTTGACAGGAACGGTGGTCCTGTTGTTGCGCCTGTATACTCGGATGTTCCTGCAGAAGACGATCGCAATCGACGACTGTAAGCTAGCTGCATGCATTGATGCCAGCTGGGTCAAACAAGCTGACGGAGGCGCTCACCAGGGTTCTGCATCTGGGCTCAGATCTGCGCGTGGATTTTCGCGATTCTCGGGATCGTCAGTAAGTTAACGAGAGGTTTCTCGAGTGCGTCGCCCAGCCAGCTAAGAGTCCAACCTGAACAGATATCGACAACGGGTATGGCCTTCATATCTGGGACCTGCACCTCGACAAGATCAAGCCGTTCAAGCAGGTATGCATCTGGTCTCCACCACCAAGTGGTGTATCTGCCCTCAAAACTCCCTGACCAACCCCATGTAGAATGATCTGGCCGGCGAGGACGTCTTCGTCGTCGGCATCTGGCTGGTCAAGACCTCGATTCTGCTGTTCTTCCTGCGCCTCAGCCCGGAGAAGCGCTTCCGGCAGATGACCTACGGGATCATGATCTTCGTCGCCGTCTACAACATGATCAGTCTGCTCGTCTTCACGCTCGGCTGCATCCCCGTCCAGGCCATGTGGGACGTGACGCTGATGCCGACCGCGCGGTGTGTCGACCAGCTGGCCTTCGTGTATGCCAATGCGGCCTTCAACCTGTTCTCGGACATCATCACGCTGGCGCTGCCCATCCGGCTCTGCTGGTCGCTGCAGACCACCCTCAAGCAGAAGGTGCTGCTGATGATGGTGTTGATGATGGGTTCGTTGTAAGTGCCCCTAGCCCGTGCTGCTTTTCATAATTAGGTGTCCGTGTGATTGCGTGGTTAACTCAGTCTCCAGCGCCTGCGTGATCGCGATCGTGCGAATCGTCACCATGATGCCCTTCATCCACGACGGCGACTTGACCTGGTACAAGGTGACCCTGGCGAAATGGGCGTATGTTCTTCTCAAGCCCCTTTTTCCCCCCGTCCCCCGCCCCCCCCTCGTAACAAGATGCAACACCAACTGACTGGATCTGGTTCCATCCAACAGCATGGTGGAAATCAACGTGGGCATCATCTGCGCGTGCCTCCCCGTGCTCCGGCCGCTGCTGCTGCAACTGGCCCCGCACATCTTCGGCGGCAGCAAGGTCTCCAGCGCGGGCAAGCCCCGAGGCCACGGCAGCGACGGCAGCGACGAGGCGGTCGGGGCGCGCAAGAAGGTCATCCGCAACTGGGACTACCTGTCCACCCTGCGCAGCACCGCGGTGCCGGAGACGCAGGACGACGTCGAGGCGATGCACGAGATGGTCAAGCACGACGCCGCCCGCGAGCATGAATCCGGGATCCACATGTCGACGGATTATTCGGTCACGAGCAAGCGGGACTGAGTGTGTCGTCTATCTGGATAGAACTTAAATAGGTCCGATTCAATTGATTGGAATGCTGGGGGGATGGGTTCCTGTTCCAGAATGGCTGAATGAATGAATGGGGAGTGCCCGACGGGGCGGGCGGACAGAACAGTTAGGGTTCAAACAAACCCCCTCGTCTTGTTTCTTTTCTTATTTTTCTGATTCGGTGATAGGAGGGGAATGTGCCGTTCCTTTTTTTTTTTTTTTTTTTTTTTTTCGAAGTTCTAGCTTTTAATTTTTATTATCATTTACTTTTATTCTTATCTTCCCCATACCATCCCAGCAGTCTCACAGTGCAGTGGGAACCCCGGTACCCGTAATTTTCACTCGGACATATCGGAGTGGAAATTAACCATGCAGAAAGAACCCCGCTACGTTTCTCGGCTGTCCGACGGTCTTCCCGGAGTACTCAACACTCCTACTCAGCAGGGTGCGTTATACTCCGTACTTCCACTGGATAAGTTTCAGTAGGGTTTCGATTAGTAATTGCAGAACTGCCGGTCTTATGTGTTGTATCATTTGCTAACAAACCTCAAGTCATTCCCAGACAGGAAGCGGTAAATCACTAACGAGTGGCGAACAACGACACTTCTCAACACACCACGCACCGGACCGAGTACTTGCCAACAGCCAGCACATGGCATGGCCAGATTTGCCATCCCGGCCGCATGCAATTCTCTGCATGTAAGTGGCTCACCGCGAGGCCAGTGGGAACCCATCCGGGGACGTCCGGAACCTCCCAAGTGGGGCGCTTGTCTTTCCTTTGCCTCTGGTCCTGAGCGCTGCATCCACTAAGGTTGCAAGCAGGTAATATTTTTTCCGGATTCTTGCTGATAAGCTAGCTAGCTGCAGTTCACACTAAAGGTTAAAATGATTAGATACCTGGAAGTCGTGTGAGTCGTGTGAGCGGTGTTTGGAAACACCACACGACTGGTTCTTAGCAGGTTGATAAACCCCTCAGTATCATGATCCTGCGATTTGTCTCGGTGCTGATGACGGTAGTGGTTGCAGGACAGTGCACTGGGCGCGATAAGCGAGACTTGCTGTCGAATTGCACTCCTTTGCGGGAGTGGTGGTTAATTAATTCTAAATTGACCGTTGTGTGTGTGTGTGTGTGCGTGTCTCGCTCTGTCTCTCTTTCTTCACGAGAACAAGGAGGATAAGAACTAAGCCAGCCGAAGCGAAGAAGAGTGGGCCTCATTCACGCAGTGGAGGCACACCAAGCTTTTTTAGCCGGACCCGACAAGCTTTGCCGAGCTTCGAGGGTTTCGATTCGGTATTGTACCGGTACCGTACCTCCCGTACACGCTGACAGGCACGGCCAGTGTAAGATTCTTCACTCCGAGACATCCTGGTCGGAGGCTGAGGTCATCGTGCAGCACAAGAAATGTCATCACTGCGTTGGAGTGTGGTTTCAAGGTTTGAGGTCTCTTACCTCAGCTGTGGATGCAGCGAGCAGGATGGAGGAGGTAGATAAGAAATCCTTCTAGATTGGCGGAGAACAATCAATCACTGCACTGCATGCATGATACCACACCATCATGGATCCATGATCCCACCACCCCCACCTGGCACTGCCCAACAATCCAATCCCAATCACTGACACCATGATCCAGTGGGGTGAGTCGGTTGGTTCGTATCCAATGGATGCATGATGGCCTCCCCCGACGGATGAACGGGGTGGTGTTTCCCCTCCCCGAGACACTCAATCAATTCGACCCATTCACAATCCCCAATAGAACTAGTCAATAAGTGAACAGCCGTTTATATAACCCCCCTCCTCTCCTGTCCCACATCAATGTCAATCTGTTTTCCCCTCTCCCTCTCCCACTTTTTCCCTGCCCCAAAGGATCAATAATTTTTGCATCCTCCGCGAATAAGCATGGCAGGTATCGTCTCCGCCGCCAACCTGGGGGGTGTCGCGGACCCGCGCCTGGGCAACGAAGCCGACCTCATCGGCACCGAGGCCGAACACGGCATCATCATCGACGACCACAGCCGCCATGGCCACCCCGGCAGCAAGGAACGGTCGCTCCACGCCATCCCCGCCCCCGTCATGCACGGCTCCGGCAACATCTACCTCGACTCCAGCATCTCCTTCGAGAATTACCTGTTCTGGGCCAAGCGCTCCCGCGAGTTCGAGAAGCACATCCGCACCGACAACCAAGGCTTTCAGCAGTTGTGGAATGTGATGCTGGGGCGCGCGTCCAAGGAGACGGCCTCACCGGCCCCGCGGATTGTGGATTCGACGACCGAAAAGCAGAAGGGTCCCGTCGAGGGTGGGGTCGCTGTTGGGGATGAGAAGGCTGCGATGTCGGAGAAGGCGGATTCCGGGGACGGGGTTGGTAGTGGTGGTGAACGCGAGGGGAACGGGGATCAGTACGGCATTACTGAGACGGAGTGGGAGCTGGCGCAGCGGGCCGCGAGAACGGCGACTTGGGGTGAGTGGATGCTGTTTTTGGGGGGGTTGTGGTTGGGTTCCAGTGGAAGGCAGGTGAGGCTGACTTGACTGTCTCTGGGCGGGTAGGCTCGATCTTCTATCTGATTACCACCGATATCCTGGGTCCGACGAACGTGCCTTGGGCGATCAGTGTAAGTGATTTCCGGAAAAGGACGGAGGAGATGGCAGGCGCAGATATACTAACAGACTGTGCAGGAAATGGGCTATGGGCCTGGTTTTGTGAGTCGGCCACTGAACCTGAGTCCCGACATCCGCTAACATAGGGCTGGCAGGCGCTGTACACGGTCTTCGGTATCATGGCATACTAGTGAGTTTTCGCTCCATATGCAATACTCTCGCCTCTTGACTAAACGCTCTGTAGTTCCGGAATGCAGCTGTGGAAGATCTTCAACGGTCTCGACTCAACCCGCTATCCCATGCGCAGTAGGTTATCCCGTTGGGACCAGAGAGAGGTATGAAGCGACTGGCTGACCGACTTTCCCAGACTACGGCGATGTTGCGTTCCGGATCTTCGGCCCCGTTGCTCGCATTGGCGTCAACATTCTTCAGAGCTTCCAGTTCTTCCTGAACGTGACCTTGCTGATTGTCAGCAACGGCCAGGGGTTGGGTCAAATGGCTGCCGGAGTACATGGCACGGGAAAACTATGCTGTGAGAATCCTCAACCCGAGCAAAGAATATCGGCAGTGCTGACCTCTCATCCGCGCAGTCATCGTGTGTGAGGTCATCTTCATGCTCCTCGGCTTCATTCTAGGACAGATTCGGACTTTGCAGCGCCTGTCGTGGCTATCGAACCTGGCCATCTGGATGAACTTTACTGTGATTCTCATCACGTACGAGCACGGCCCCGTCCTTAAAAGAGCAAGAACAGTGCTGACATGATGGCTAGTATGGGCGTGGTCTACGTATACCCCCCCACCGACAGTGTCGCCAGCTCTACCAACCTCAATCCCGAGCCCATTCGGACCAGCGCCAACTGGCCGGCGGACGGGACTCTATACACTCGGATGACGGCGGTGATGAACTGTGTCTTCGCCTACGGTGGAGCCACCCTCTTCAACGAGCTGATGGCCGAGATGCGGCGCCCGTAGGCCTCCTTCACCATCTTCTGCACCGTGGCAGAGTGCTAACAGATGGATAGATTCGATTTCTGGAAAGGTTTCATCTGCGCCGAGGTCTTCATCTACGTGTGCTACCTCGTGGAGGGCATGGTCGTGTACAACGCGCAGGGACAGTATACCTTCAACCCGGCGTATCAGGGTGAGTGCAACAAGCAGGCCCCCGTCTCTACGGGACTATATCTTTGTTTCCATGTCCCGCTAACCAGGATCCTGCCCAAGGAATCCCCGACTCCGCTTACAGCTACCAAACCGGCTGTAACGCCCTCTCGCTCATCTCGGGCGTTATCGCAGCTCTGCTGTACGGCAACATCGGCATCAAAGTCTTCTACGCCTCGGTCCTGCGCGACGTCTTCCACTTCCCGCCGCTGGATCACCGCACCGGCAAACTGATCTGGATTGCTCTTGGTATGTGCCCCCCCCGGTTCTTCCCTTGTCCAAGAATTTGTGATTGGAGATTGACGGAATCAAACAGTCCCGATCTACTGGTGCCTCGCCTGGATCGTCGCCGCCGCCATCCCGCAGATCAGCAACCTCACCTCCTTCGTCGGTGCTCTCTGCATCCTCCAGTTCTCCTATACCTTCCCGCCGATGCTCCTCGTCGGGTTCAACGTGCAGAAGGACGCCATCCTGCCCGAGGAGACCTTCGACCCCCACACGGGCGAGACCCGGCGCGTGGATTCCGGCTGGAAGCGCTGGGTTCGCGGGTACCGTCAGCAGTTCGCCCGGAATACCTTTGATGTGCTGTACTCGTTGGCCGCGTTGGGCACGGCCGGGCTGGGGCTCTGGGCGTCGATCGTGGCGATGGAGGCGGATTTCAAGAGCTCGGCGTTGACGCCGTTCACGTGCACGAACCCGGCGGGTTAGGGATGTTCTGTTTTGGACCCGGTCGTTGAAGAAAGGCATGGAGACGAGTGGAATGTATGGGCTGTATGTTATGCTAGATGCGCAATTGGCTTTGATTTAATGTGTATGGCTTCTTGGTTTATGAGCTTTTGACTTGAGTAAAATTCTCGTGGGTGCTTTGTATATATATATAATTTAGAACGGTTGATGTTCCTTGGGACCTGGTCACAACAAAATGCTTGGTCTTGAAAATATGAGTTAACCAGTTACCTGCCCACCCTTTATCCATTATATCGCCGTATCATTTTGATTATCTCTAAACATCTCTCCATGACGGGCAACAGAGGAGAGAAGAGGATTCTTTCAACCTGATATCAACCATGATCTACGTTGAAAGTCCACCGCCGATGTTCGGGCCTCCATCCACCGAACTCCCCAAGCCCGCATCGCCATACACCCCCGACTGGCGATTCCAAGCCCAATCCCACACGCCTCCGGCTCCGACTCCAGTCGTACGCGAGTGCTGCATCAGTAGTAAGGACGAGCGAAGAGAAAGGGCACAACTTAGCCCCGTCGAGCGATGTCTGAAGCGACCCCCGCTGCCATGCAACGAGGGTGATGACACCATCAGCCTGGAAGTCCCCGGCACACACTGAAGGCCGGCGATGGCCATAACTCTCAGGTCCTAACGGTTGAGGTGCTAGACTCAACATCGCCATCGCTCCCCCGTCCAGGTGCCCGCTCTAGTGGCCAAGATCTACGACCCACTTTACTTCGATGACGACGACGGATATCTCGACCCGTTCCGCTGCATGGACATGTACTACACCCACGAGGCCAATGCATACCCGGCACTGCACGAGCTCCAAGGTCTGGGAATCCCGACTTACTTTGGTTCCTACACTGTGAACCTACCGGTGGATGAAGACCGCTCGCGGGGCCGTGCGGATGATTCTGATGGAGCAGGTTTCGGGCGCCACCATGGCCGACACGCAACCGGGGGACTATTCGCAGGCCCCGATCGGCAAGCGATTATGAAGGAGAATCGTAGCCCTCGGAAGCCGGATCTACGAGAAGAATCTGTGGCTCACCGATCTCGAGCCCCGGAATGTCAGTGTCCGGTCGTCATCGGCTCGTGACCACGACGATAACGACGGCCAGCAGCAACCTCGCGTGGTGTTCGTGGACCTGGCCCATGCGCTTTTCAATCGGCGGCGAGATGACCCCCTGGCAGTGACGCTGAATCGTTTCCTGGGGGAATACATCTCACCTCTCCTGCGCTGGAAGAACCCCCAGGCGCAAGGCGGTCCCCCTTTGAGGACTGGGTGGACTGGGATTGGGGATCCCTGGCTCACGGCGGAGTTTGCCCACACCGTGACCAATTTCACGCTGGAGGTGCGAGAGCGATGGGCCGACATTTGAAAAACTCGCCGCGATTTCGGTTCTTACGCGACCGGGGTAAGGTGCTTCTTCTCTCATGGCTACCCCACAAGAAAGTAGCTGGTGACAATCAGTCACAAGTAGAACTGCACAAGAAGCTTCAAGGCTATACTAGTCTCTAGCTACCTCCCACTATCCAGCTTTGTCCTAAAGGAAAGCTGATCCTAACTTGAGAGAAGTGTTGTGTGTATGCGCACTCTGTGTAAAGATCAAAGTATATGGCGCAAACTACAGCTGGCTAGGTACTTTCACCAATGGGTGCTCGGAGAGTTGGATTCTGGCTTGCCAAGCAGGGTACTGTACATGACGCCAAGATCTCCCAGTTTACGAAGTCTTTCCTGATCTTCATTTCACCAGGTTGGCAGATGCGTACATTGATGGTATCAAGGACTTGAGGTAGTTTTACAGATATCTTCCGAAGAGGAAACCTTTGAACATCAGTATTTGTAGGGGGTTCAAAAACGAAGTTTTTGCTCTTCGGTTCTTTGTGTCTAGGTAACTATTCACATTCTGGAGTATCAGGGCCTAGGTTCTCATCTGCCATCTTTCCCTATTTTGCCTAACGTGGGTGGTATCGAACATATGGTGAACGTCGATAACAACTGCATGAAAGAACCCATCACTTTCTACAGTAAGATAGCATGAGGTCCAGGGTATCACAGACTGGGCTGTTCTTTCTGTATGCCCAACTACATGTTGACCTGTCAACGCGAGTTCTTTATCTGACGACTATTCCCTCCCTCCCTCCCTCCCTCTCTCTCCTACGGCACTGTTCTCATCTCATATCGAATCCAACTCAGAGCACCCACCTAGCACCCCAACGGAGCAGTCAACCATCAATCTCACCAAACAATCGTCTCCTCCATCAACCCAACCTCAGGCCCACTGCACCCCCCCACATACCGCAGGGTAGCCTTCCGCCCTTCCGCAAACTGCGGCGACGACGACCGCACGCGCGCTTCCAGGCTGATATCTGCAGGGTGATAGGCAGCAATGCCCGGCTCCACACCGGCCGCCTGTTCCTCGATCGCGACGACGCGGCGCGCCACCCGGGCGGCGAGGTCGGAGTCCCACACCCCTTCGCGCCGACGACAGGTCTCGAGCAGCCGGAGGGCGTGGTGTCGGATCGTTGAGTCCCGGCAGCGGGTGGCGCAGATGTAGAGCGGGGTGAGGAAGCCCAGAGAGAGGGTGAAGGTGGGTTGAGCTGGAGCTGGGGGTGGTGGAGTTGGAAGAAGTGGCGGCGGTGCAGATCGGCGCGGGGGGGTTCTGCTGTCTTGGCGGGTGGTGGTAGGGGCTGACGGGACGGCAAGTGCGGTCACGTCGCCTGTGACGACCGATATCAGGGAGACGATGGATTGGAAGTCCGGGGTGAATCGGTCCCACGCCAGCTCGGACGGCGGCCACTCCATTCGGAAGTACATGCTGAACAGCAGCTTCCAGGCTTTGAGGATGGCGATGGAATGGGCGTGGGGAGATTCCGTGCGGGGGTCTGTCTGCCACCGATGCATGGTTTGGCGGTCGAAGTCGTGCATCCACGTTTTCAGGTCGGTGCGGACGCGGAACCACTCGTCCAGTAATTGCTGTTCGTGCGCGATACGTGCGGGGGAATGGTCGTTGGGGATTGACTCGAATGCCTCGATTAGGGCGTCGATTTGCACAAACCGATAGTATAGTTGTCGGAAGATGCGTTGGTGGTCTCTCACGTCGAGTGGTAGCCCTGTTTGAAGCGGGTTGGCATTAAGAGCAGGCGGCGACAGCTTGGGTTGCGAGTCAGGGTCCAGCCCTTCCATGCCCTCGATTTCGAGCACCTGGCTCTGGACGGCGTGGAAGAGCGAGGACACCGCTGCTGGAGCCCTCTCGAGAGAGCTAGGGGGGAGCAACTGTTGCTGCTGGAGAATTCGCAGCCCAGACAAGGCATGTTGGATGGCGGTCTTGTAGCGGCCTTGCAGACACTCGCAGCAGAAGAACAGGATACAGGCCAGGAGGACGGTGCTTTTGCTCTGCGGAGACGTCACCAGCTGTCGGATGGCCTTGTTGTAGTGGAGCAGAGTGAAGGTGGTGGCTTCTTCGCTTGAGAAGGTGAAGGAGCGGTGCACGGAGCCCACCGCCATAGCCACGGATCGGATCACCGGCTCACTGGTGGTTGCCTGCAGCAGATACGAGCCCACCTCTGATCCTAGACCCGGTAAGGTATAGTGGTGGAAGAATTCCAGACTGCGATGCTCTTCGACATTCAGCTGCACTGCAGGCTGGATCTTCCGACCCGGCGGGATATGCTGGATGATCCGCAGGGAGCAGGGTTTCTGGGCCTGAGATTGGGACTGGGACCCATCCTGATAGCCGTCGCAGGTCCGTCCAGTGGACACGCACCGATTGCACTCGGGCCTTTGCTCGTCACATTTCACGCGACGAATCCTGTCGGAGTGAGTTGCGCTGTTGCCGGACGACCACCAGTAGAAACCCAGACTTACTTGCAGGTGATGCAGCCATTGCGGGACCTTGCAGCTTGGGGTCTCCCCGTCATGGCGCGTTCGGTCCGAGTTGCGGAGAATGGTTCATTCCTTGGTTCAATTGGTTGCTGTCCGCCTGCTGGGCTGTGTAGCTTGGGGAGACAGTCTGGAGGCAACCCTATGTTGGTTAGCGTATGCGAGGGCAGGCCGATGAGTGGATGCAGCAGGGGGGAAACATCAGACGGTCAGACCCGCCAACGTGGCCGCAAGCGACTTTAAAACTAGGTTAAACACCTATAGCCAAGTCAGTTAGGGAGCCTCAACTTACCTAGTGCAATCCTGCGACTAGTCGGGGTCGGGTTAGTCTATGCGAGCGGGCCAGTGATTGCTGCCATCGCCATCTCCACCCGCGTTGCATCCACGGGATTTGATTAGACGAGGCTGAGTAGGGCTCTCCTCCCTGTCGATATACCCGGTGCAGATCAACGCCCCAGCCTCAGTCTAGATAGATTTGGACCCCAAGTTCCCATATTGCTGCTCGTCTGCCATTCCTACATTGGGAGAAGTTGAGTGCGAGCTCAGCCTCGCGTACAGCACGAGCCATGCGAGATGGTGTATAAAGTCGAAGAGATGTTCGCAATTGTCGGAGAGGCTTCAGCTTCAGCTTCAGCTTCAGCTTCACGCACTCGACGTTTTTTCATTGCACTTTTCCAATAATCTCTACTTCGGGGGCTTGAATTCATAGTGCATAATGGCCCCTCCTCAGCATTGGTTAATCCTCACGGCCCTCGGGTCGTTGCCGTTGTGCCTGGCAAGTGCCCGGCCTTCAGCTCCTCGACACATTTCCTCGCACATCCCATTAGTACGGCGCACAGACCCGGCAGCCAAGTTGTTTCGTCGCGACAAATATGGCATCGAGACTGTCTCTGAGTCGGATGTAGGTCGGATCCCGTTCACTCATGCGTACCCCAACTCACCCTAGTGGTAGGGCTTCTGGTTTGGGAGCTTTGATGTCGGCAGCTCCAAGAACCTCCATCTCCTGATTGACACGGGCTCCTCCGATGTGATCATCAATCCTGGATACTACAACGCGAGCTCTGCATCAGTCAACCTCAACCTTACGTTTGAGAACGGCTATGGAACGACCCAAAGCGATGGGTCCGGGACGGGCTCGGTACGTGACGATTCCCGTGCTCATGTCAAAAGTGTATAGCTAAATGCCAGTCGTCTCGATTCAGGTAGCGGGGACCCTGTACAACGACACCATCACATACGGCAGCTTGACCATCGACCAGACGATCGGCTCCGCCAACGGCACGGCGCTGATCCCCGCTGATGGGATCGTGGGTTTTGCCGGAGTCGAAGTGGCTCAATTTCCCAACGGCGCGCCGCCCTTTTTCCACGCGCTCTGCCAGCAGGGTCAAGTCTCTTCGTGTCGCTTTGGCGTGGTCCTGGGCAGCAACTCGACTGGAACCCAGGTGCTGGGCGAGCTGGACACCTCCCTCTTTGAAGGCAACCTGACCACCACCTCCATCGTGCAGGAATGGGCCTTCTTTGCCGACGTGGCCGTCAACGACACCATCCTCACCAAGGATGTGCCTATCGAGCTCGACACCGGAACCGCCACGATCACCGGGTAAGTCGATGAGTCTCTGCTCCCAAACCTTTCATCCAGGCGACGATGTTGATGTGTGAATAGCCCGGTCGAAGAAGTACTTGCCATCTTCGAGGCGACCAACATCCAAGCCGTCGTCCAGAACACCAGCGACGGGGTGACCGTCACGGGCTACTTCCCCTGCGACAGCCCTCCCACCGTGGGCTTCAGCATCCCCTCGCAGGCCAATGCCACCGCTGCCGTCGACGCGGACTCCGATCTGGTCAGCCACCAGAGCGCCATCTTCAACATCGCCGCCGACCAGTGGATCGCCGCCGACAACGGGAACAACAATTGCACGGCGGTGCTCTCGGGCGCGACCGTCGCTTCGTACCCGACCTTGTGGGTGGTCGGTCAACGTATGTTTTCCATTCTCCTTTTACCCTTTCTCCGTTCAGAAGAGAATCAGAAGGCTAATGTCTCGCAGCCTTCTTCCGGGGCTTGTACATCGATCACAATGTCGAGAATGCGACCGTGGGCTTGGCGGTCTCCAAGACGCAATCCGGCACGCAGACCTCCGCGTCTGCGACACCGAGCAGCGCGTCGTCGGTGGTTCCCAGTAGCGGTGCGGTACTAGGACAGTCGGTGAATGTTGCTATGCTTTCGCTTTCGGTTCTTCTCGCGTGGGCTATGCATTGAGCTATGGGTGAGGGTCAGCATCCGTATCTGTGTTAGTGTTGGGAGTTGTTCTACGGCCATGTGCATACATACCTTCTAATCATTTCTACCCCACACTTTCATTATCAGAACCACCCGATTCTTGCATTCATAGGCTGGACATTAGACTACTGGTGATGCTGAGATTTTACAAATAGGATCGAGTCTCGGGGAGATTCCGGACGGTGAGCCCTTCAGGCCAAGAATGAGAGTATAGCGGGAGTCGACCTTGTCCGATTCGGCTAAGTGTGTAGCTAAGTTGCGTAAGCCTCAGCCCTGCTTCTCCACTTCGTTTCTTGTGCCTTCTCCCACTCGTAGTTTGATATAGCTTGGCCCAACTTTCTTTCGGATTGCACAGGTCCTGAGTCACCGATTGGTTGGTTGTATCGGGGCGTCATGCCGAGGTTGTCATTTGCGGATGTCGCAGGGGCTTTCACGGGGATTTCACGGGATTTAACAAGCAGCAGAACTGCAATCAATGTTGGGAAGGGTCTTCGGGTGCACTTGGAATGATTTCCCTTGTCGCGTTGCATGTCCCTCGTTCATAGCATCAATCCTGACAGTCGCGTCCTTTTCCTTTCCCTCCCCCGCAGAGTGTCCTCACCCATGGACGCATAATTTACTGATGCAATATTTCAGCCTGCAAGGCACGAGCCCATAGGGCCAAGTGCGTGCAGAGCAGAAAGTACTTGGCATGGGTCGACCATTCTCCCGTGGTGATCCGGACATAGAGAGCGAACAGATCCGCGAGGATGAAAGAATAGAACATCCACTGCATTTTGAGAGGGTGGTTTCAATCGTAAGGACGACTGGGAGTGGGGCAATGAACGAGAAATGCCGGTGTGGAATCTGGTGATGAGTGAGTTGGAGTTGAGATTGAGATTGAGAATTGCTCTGGTGAGTGTTGTGTCCTATTTATACCTCGATGAGGTGCGAAAGTGAGGACACATGAGGGATTTTCTAAAGCCTCGCTAATCTGTCATCCTCATTCGGCTGCGACGGTGCTTTGTTTGTGTTTGTGCTGCTAGGCTGTACCTGGATACAAGACTGCGCTATTAAATTTAGCCGGCCAAGCAGCGTGAGATAGTAGCAGCACTTACTCCGTGGGTAGTTTGTCTTTGCCTTTCAGGCGGTCGTTCATGTGGCTCCACTCCAGATAAGCGGTGCTGGCTTTAGACACTCGAGGACAGCTAGTGCCTTGGTCATGATTGAGGTCATCGGGGTCCGATCATCGTGGTGACAGGCTTGCGGGGCCAGCAGTTCCTCGACCGGATCAAGCGGAGGCTCTGCGGTAGGGAGAGTGTCTGACCACGGTTGATCCTCCAGCGCTCAAGTCGGAGACCCGGCTATCTTGGATCAGCTCTCGACATGCTTGCCCGTGATTCCCTAACAGCTTGTGAATCTCATCCAACGCAGAAATTTTCAGTCTGACTGGCCTTCAGACTATCTTGGTGAACTTGACGGAACGAGTCAATTAGACTCGTGAGTGTTAACATACAGTTCGTGGCGACAACCAGGCCAAAGTGTTGGAGACAGGTAAACAGACTCGAGAGGTGGTGGAGGGAACAAGTTGTACATCTTGTGCATCTTGTTGTGCGAGGAAGAGGCCGGTTACTGACTAAGCTCATTAAAATCACGTGGTGTCACTTCCAATTTATGCCATTTTGACCCGGGATCACCTGACACTTAATGAAACACTCCCCTTCCAAGCAGATAAGCCAATCTACCGCAACCACGGACGATGAATAAAATCCGGACAGGTGCATAATCTCGCTGCGGGCCTAGACTCCTTTCAGCGCCAAAGCGCCAAGAAGTGGGCCGTTGACGTGGAAAGCCTGATTCATGCATGCATCGGCTTCTTCATATCATCTTTCAGTCGGCCACCAGACCCTTTACTCTCCTGGACCCTGTAGAGCTCGATAACTCCAAATTCGAACCCTTCGCGTCCCTTGGACCGGTACAATGACGATCGCACTCGCGACCAAAGGATGGAAGGGCATAGTACTCGATATCCATCGTAGGAATCATTTGGCTGGCACAGCCAGGTGCTTACGTATGCCTTCGTCCTGGTACCTCCCTCTCGTTGGCTTGGTCCCTCCATCCGGGAGGCCAGACACGTAAGCATGGCAGATCGAACGGTGTCACTGACTGCGGCCGAGCCCTATCAGTACGTACCCTTTTCCCTTGTCGCAGCGTTCGGCATGCACAGTACAAAGAGGGTCCGGGTCTGCTGCATCGGACTGCCGAGGCGAGGGTGGGATTCCCTTTAGTCTGTATTTGAGAGGGCTACGCGACCTTGATCGTGACCCTGGGATATTTTCCACCAACTTCGGGGAACAATCCTGGACGATTGTACAGCACCCTCTCAAATCCCGCCCGGTCAATTGTCAATCCCCTGCACATCGATGGTGTACCGCAACCTGTCAAGTCAGGCCAGTGACTATCCCGACTACGAGCTCACGAATGTCCCTTACACCACCGGCACCAACACCGCAGCAGCCACCCATCCAGAAATAATGGAGAAGTCCACGAAGCCTACGGCAGCCGCAACGAAACCCTGGTACGATCCGCGCGGCTGGTCGTTACTCACCAAGTCGCTTGTTGCGGCCGGGGTGGTTGTCGCCATCGTGGCCCTCATCGTCGGTCTCGTGGAAGGCCTCAAATCCCCCTCGTATCCCGACTACTCCGCCCTGAGCTACACCCTGTCTCGCAAATACTCGGGGTCTTCCTTTTTCGACGAGTTTGACTATTATACCGCCACCGACCCGACGGATGGGTTTGTTCAGTGAGCTCCTACATCGGTTGGTCTACGAGTATCTGGCCACTAACTCAAAGCATCTAGATATGTGGACTCCTCGACAGCCTCAGAGCTCAACCTGACCTACGCCTCCAGCTCCCGCGCCGTGCTGAGGGTCGACACCAGCACCTCGAACCAAACCAGCGGTCGCCGGTCAGTGCGCGTGACCTCGAAGGAGACGTACGAGAACGGACTCTTCATCTTCGACATCGTGCACACCCCGTACGGCTGCGCGACCTGGCCGGCGCTCTGGCTGACGGACCCGAACAACTGGCCGGAACACGGCGAGATCGACGTGCTCGAGTCCAACAACAAGGGCACGCACGGCAACGCGATGACCCTGCACACGACCAGCGGGTGCAAGATGAACGTCAAGCGCAAGGAGACCGGCTCCCCGACGTACACCAACTGCTTGAACACGGCGAACGACAACGCGGGGTGTGGCGTGACCGGCGGGAAAGCGACGTACGGGCAGGCATTCAACGAGAACGGGGGTGGGGTGAGCACAACCCCTACCCTAACCACATGATATACACATCTTAACGGCTGTGGCAGGTCTACGCGATGGAACTCCGCGACGCCGGCATCCGCGTGTGGATGTGGGCGCGCGACGAGATCCCCGACGACATCTCGAACTCCAGCAGCAGCCCCGACCCGTCCACCTGGGGCGAGGCGCTGGCGGATTTCCCCAGCACGAACTGCGATATCAGCTCGCACTTCACGAACCAGAGCATCATTGTGAACATCGATGTCTGTGGGGATCTCGCGGGGGCGTCGACCTATTACACCGACCTCTATGGGTGTCCGGATACGTGCACGCAGTGGGCGGCTGAGAACGGGGCCAACTTTACCAATGCCTACTGGGAGTTTAATAGTTTCAAGGTGTATCAGACTTCGTCGGGCGCGTCGACGACGGCGACGACTACCTCTTCTATGGCGGGGGCAACGTCTACGGCTGCTTCGGTGGGGACCACGTCTGCTGATGCGGCGTCGACGACCACTCAGGCGCAGTCGCAGGAGCAGGGGGAGGGGGATTCCTGGTCGCAGCAGCAGCAGAGTCAACAGGGTCAACAGCAGCAGCAGCAGCAGCAGGGGGGACAATGATTGTGGGATTGATCTGGTGTTGCTCTCGGCGTATGCATTTTTTCCTTCGTATTTTTAATAGCTTATACGCATTGGTAGCTTGTTGGAATAAGTTCATTGGGGCGCTTCTTGTGATCTGGCGTAGCTTGTTCTGTTCTTGGGTCGGGAATGACTCAATTAAATCCGGTTGTTGTTTGTTTTTATTCGACGGTGATTCATAATTCTCGGTGAAGAGACTCGCCTATATATACATACAGATGGACCATTATCCATTTGTGAGCACCCTAACTTCCCACAGACAATGGAACGCACAAAGGAAAAAAAGGGAAGACCAATTTATGACAATCTAGGTATACACCAATAATATACCATAATATATGATCCTCTTTCCACCATCAGATGCATATAATGACAATGTTGTCGAGAGCGGTCATCCTCATTGCTGTGTGCCATTTGCATCAAGGATATGATGTCAAAAATTGCATCATCCTTCAATAGTTGGGGCTGTGGTTTAGTGGTATAATATTCCCTTAGCATGGGAGAGGTCCGGGGTTCGATTCCCCGCAGCTCCATCTTTTTGCTGTTTTTCTCTCCGGCCTTCTTTCAAGTTACCCGTTATTTTTTTATCTGGTTACCAAGGTTTGTGTGCTTTTTGACCGGTTATCGATAAGACACCATACCGCACCTATGTGCACAACCCGTGTGCAACCACAACTAAACCTCATATTCCAAACACATATAGCTGCAAAAGACTACTGACTTTGATCTACTTATGCATAGTCAATATCATTCCAGGATTATTTTCTTCATCCATAGTTCTTACTAGATGGTTAGAAGTATATGTAAAGATAGTATACCTCCAGCACACGCAACCCCCATACCACATTGACATCGAGATTGACCGATTGACGTCAACCCCTCTAGTTATCCATCCCACCACCACATCCACAATCAGACAGAATCCATACGCTTGTCATCCAATAACTAAGCTTTCAAGTCCTATCTCCTGCCCCACCTGGTACTTATTCCAGCCCACCGGCTCCGGTCTACTCTGAAGGATAACAATTACCCTCCCATGACGCAACATCCCCATCCACCCTTCCACAATATCGCATATAAACCCTACCCAAACATCACAGACCAGCCAGCCAGAAAACCAGAAGCATCCAATCCATCTACACCCACACAATCATCTTACAGCCTCCAAAAAAACATCATAGCCAACCGCCTTGGAATTCAAGCACACAACGAACAAAAAAAATGCCCTCCCAGCTCACAAACCGCGACTTCCAATCCGCAAAGAACGTCGAGCCCCTCGACGAACACAACACCCAGTCCGAGGACGCTGCCACCCAGCCCTCCTTCTCCGGGCCGGGGGCCCACAGCTCGGCCGCGTCGACGACCAAGCCGCATGGCAACAAGGTCTTGAACAAGCTGGATCCACGGCTCGATAGTGATATGTTGGAGGGGCAGCAGGAAAGGGAGAGGCGGGAGGGGCCGCATGAGTAGGTGGTAGGAGTGGGGGATTCTTGGTAAAGTGTGCTCTGCATGCATACATGCAGGTATTACGCTGCAAGCAAAGGCTCGGACGGTATGATGAGGATTTGGTCTGAAGCGAGGATATATTTGTACTGTACTATATCACTAACATATTCACAATGAAGGTTAACCAACTAAGGCCTTTCAGCTTAGATTAAGAAAAGTAGATGTGCGAGCGAGATTAGCGCTGTGCTATAAGTCCCGATTAGGTCGAGCCGTCGATGATGGCCTGAGCGATCTTCTCCGCCAGCATGTCTATTTCCCATGGTCAGTAACCCATTCTGTAGATGGACCAAAGATGAAAAGGTTCTCCAAGGTAGGGAAGACTCACAAACGGTGGACTGGGGATGGCCCGGGGGCAAGAACGGGAAAGCGCTGGCATCGACAACCCGCACGCCCTGAACGCCGTACACGCGCGCCTCGTGGTCCACGACCGCCATCGCGTCGCTCGCCAGCCCCATCTTGCACGTACACGCGGCGTGCCACAGCGTCATGACGTTGTTCTTAATGAACTCGAGGATCTCCGCGTCCGTCTGCGTCTGCACGCCCGGGTTGTACTCCTGGCCGATCACCACGGGCGCCATCGCCTGGCTCTGGAAGGCCGCGCGGATGCGCTTGAACATCGCCACCGCCACCTCCTGGTCGGCCTGCGTGTCCAGCCAGTTCGGATTGATGATGGGGAGGTCCGAGGTGTCGGCGGACTTGAGCGTCACATTGCCGCGCGAGGTCGGGGTGATGAGCACGCCCAGCATGGAGGCGTATTGGTAGCCGTCGCGAGGCTGCGTCGTCAGGAGGTTGGAGAGGTTGCCGATATACCCGGCGCCGGAAATATACTGGTTTGGGGTAAGTTAGTGTCAGCTTGAAGACTTCGATCTTCGACAGGAACAAGCCCTACCTCTGCTTCCGGCCAGTCACTGGGGAAGGTAGCGAGATCCTTCTCGGTCTGCTGGCTGAAGGCCGAGCGCAAACTGGCGGGGATCTTCTCCCAGGCGAGATAGTCGGCGATGGGGTTGGTCAGGGGGCCTGATCTTGTGGTGACTATGTTAAGGAATTGGCCGACCAGTTCCAGCAGGTTCAGGGCGATAGCTGTGAAGGTCTGCACCTTGACACGGTACGAGGGCGCAAAGAAAGGGTGGTCCCACATGTTCTGGCCAACACCGGGACGATTCGCGACGACCGCAATGTTGTGCTGCTCCAGAATCTCCTGCGGTCCTACGCCCGAAACCATCAGAAGCTGAGGGGATTGGAAGGCACCAGCCGACACAATCACTTCTTTCTTCGCTTTGATGGTGGAGATGATTCCCAGCGCGCCCTTGACCTGCACACCGGTGGCCTTCTTGTTGCTGTCGAAGATGATCTTCTTGGCGAGTGTGTTCGAGTACGTGGTCAACGTGGAGGGTTTAATGGAGGTCAAGAAGGACGACTGGGAGCTACTCCGCGTCTCGTCCTTGGGGTTGATGGTCGAGGAGCAGTACTGCCCGCCCATGAGAGAGCCGGTGTTGAAGTCCTGGGTCTGGTTGATACCGATGGCCTGCATGCCAAGGTCCATCCACGTTGAGAACGGCATCGCGTAGTTCGCGTAGGACACCTGCAGCGGTCCTCCGCTCGATTCAAACGCACTGCTGTCGTACTCGGTCGTGGCATTCTTGAATCGAAGCTCGGTGTTGGGAGGCGTGAAGGCCACGCTGCGCTTGTAGTAGGGCAGCACTTGATCGAACTCATAGCTGCTGTCGTTGACGGTAGTGGCCCATTCGTGCATGGATTCGCGCGTCGGCCTGGTAATCCCGCATCGGTCAGTTACTTGGTCTCCAAGGTTATCATCCCGATTGTACTGGGACCTACCGTTGATAAATCATGAAGTTCATCGCCGACCTGTCACATTATCTGTCAGCACAAGTGCATCCGCACATTGAATACCAGCGCATCACATACGATCCACCCAAGCACTTCCCCCGAGCGTAGTGGATCGACCGTCCGTTGGCGCCGGGCTGGTTCTCCGCGACAAACCCCCAGTCGTGGAGGGCGACGGTCTTGGGGTCGGAGCCGACAGGGAGCACATCGGCTGCGGGCACGGCGGCCACCGATTCCAGTTCGTAAAGGCCTCCGGCCTCCACCAAGGCGACCTTGAATTTCTGCTGTGCCAGACGCGTGGCGATGACATTGCCTCCCGTGCCGCCGCCGACGACCACGTAGTCAAATTCAGTATCGAAGAGGCCGCGCTCCTGGTGGCCAGTGGGTGAAGCAGCGGTCCCCGGGACCAGCCACTGTAAAGCGAGCGACGCAAGGAAGACGTGACCTATCATCGGGACTGTAAAGGAGTGTGGGTGCCAGAAAAGGCAGAAAGGTTAAGGATCAAGGAGTGGACTAAGGATCGAACAGGGTATCAGAAGCAAAAGCAAAAAGAGTGTCAGTTGAGGAGGGAGACCGCGGAAGGAGAGCTGCAGCAGGCGTTTATGAGACATGCTCGACCAGCACGGGGACTTCTCAAGTATGGCAAGACCGAGGAATCAGGATCGTGGCTGCCCAGAATCTAAGCTACATTGTGGATCAGTCAAGTTGGAAAAGTGATCGATCTATACGGTTAATCGGGTTCTGAATGGTGCATTCTTTAGAAGCCCCATACCAGTATATCCAGGAGCTGAGCTGCAAGCGAGCGCCAAGTGGAAATTCTGCCAGGGATTAGGAATTAGTTTCCCTCCGACGAGGGCATCCTGGCACCGAGATACGAGATCCGGCCCATATTGAGACCGTTCCTGCTGGCTGGACCATCCGATTGACTCGGGATCGCAGAGCCGTGCATCATAGCCCTGAAGGTTGTGGGGGATGCGCTCTGGCCTCGGAGCATAAGAGCAAGATCAGGAACTGTACTCCGTGCGCCCCTTTTCGCGTGGGGACTGAAATCCACGGACCGACAAGAAGAATCTGAGGTTTGTGATCAACAGGCACGGTGGCTTAGGCTGAAACCACCGGACGGTCGCGATCACAAGCGAAGTGGGGATTGAGGGCTGAAGATCGCAAATATCGGGCGGGCGCAAAATTGGGTGGTTTGGCGCTCTGGGACCTCCCGAAACATTAACTCATAAATAGAAACACTGCGAACTGCTGCTCGTGTTGGTACCCCTCTGCACAAAGTCAATGCTTGCCAGAAATCCACTGATGTATCATCGAAAGACGCTCTATACAAATTGTCGGGTTTGTGTGATCGAGTGTGATATGTGGACTTGCCGCGTAGTTCCGATGCAAGCGCCCTGAAGGAAATTAATTGTTGGGGAAAAACAAGGCACCAGGTGGACCCAGTGTGATCAACCCCGCAAATCCTTCAGTCAGCCCATGTTTCCATGTTTTTCGATAGGTTCAGTATATAAAGCCAGGACAAATCGCCCTCCTGGCTTGCCAGGAAATCGAGACTGGCAATTTTTGAGTCAATGTAGGGTTGGGGAGGGAGGCAGAGGGGGAATGATGACTAAACAAACACCTTTTTGCTCTGCACCATCGCCCAAAAGGGTAATGGTTGCGAGTAGCCCTGCATTGCCCTTTTCAGTCTTGGCTTCAGCCTGCCTGGTGAGCTTGTTCATGCATTTTCATCATGTGCTACCTGCCTCCATCTCATAGATCAAAACATTTACATATGACTATCCTGAAGGTATTTAGGCATCAATCAAAATTCAGAGTGTTGGTGAATGGTGACACTTCCTAGGTTGGGGGGAATCCTTACTCCCAACCACAGAAGTACAGTATAGTTGTTGTGTATGTACAGTACTTGCATATACTTGGGTAGAAGAATAAGATGAGAGATCACAAATGACCATATATCACAATTATACCTCTGGGACTGAAGCATGACCTAGATGAAGAAAACTGCGGCCTACAAGCTAGAAGAGACACCCTACATCATCTCTTCTCAACCACCGAGGTATCATCCATCCCCAACGGAAGAAAATCTGCAAACCTTACAGCACGTGCCCCCCGGAGTCTCTAACAGCCTAATTGTCTGTTGAGCCGCCGTGGCCAACAACGGCCCTCCGGTTCGAAGGGATCTGCAGAGCCGCGGTGATTGTCCCCTCATCAAGCCGCCAGCCGAACCCTCCTCTGCCACCACATGAACCCAAACGCCGTTTGTCACATGCTGAACAGCCGAGTTTGTCAAGGGAAACTGAAGACTTTGCCTCTTCGCTGTGGTGGGCGGCAAGGATGAACCCGACCTATATAGTTGCCCCTCCAGCCATCCGCCATGGCCGCCACCAGACAAAGCCATCAGCCGACCACAGCCACCCCTCATCACTCGCGTGATCTTCATCAACAACCAAAACAACAACATCATCATCATCATCATGAGTGGCACACATCCAAATCCTAAGGACTCGATGAAGTCCACCTGGCGCCAGCTGGACCGCGACCAGTGGAGGTTCCCTCACTGGATGGTCGAGATGCTTGGCATCCACCACATCAACCTGGACCAAGACATCCCCATCCACTCCAAGGAGGACAAGATGCCCTACATCGGTGAATTCTCCCTTCACCGCTGGATTCTCTGGCACTCGGTGCTTCCCCTCCTCGTCCACCAGCTGTATGTCTCCTACACCGGCCGGCCCATGGGCCTCATCGCCGCCTTCTTCTTCTACAGTCTCGCCTTCAAGCTGATCGCCATCCACGAACTGCACGTCCTCCGCCGGCTAGGCCACAAGGTCGGCTTCTTCGACGGCGACCAGCACGCGCGCGACGGGGTGCCCGACGTGGGGATCGGCAAAGTCGTGCAGTCGCTCATGTCCACCTCGACCTTCCGGCCGGTCATGACCGTCTTCTTCAGCTACCGGCCCAGCCAGCCCCCGTCGCAGATCAGCTGGGCCTGGCTCATCCTGGAGATCGGGCTGTACGGCATCGTCCTCGACTTCTGGTTCTACTGGTACCACCGCGTCATGCACGACTTCGAGGGGCTCTGG